CTTTCTACCTGTTTGTGTCTTTGAATCTAAAGTGTGCCTCTTGTAGACAGTATATAGTTGGATCATGTTTTTTGCCAATCTGTTTTGTTTTTGGTTTTTTTGGTTTTGTTTTGTTTTTTTGAGATGGAGTCTCACTGTCACCCACGCTGGAGTGCTGTGGCGTGATCTCAGCTCACTGCAACCTCCACCTCCCGGGTTCAAGCGATTCTCATCCCTCAGCCTCCAGAGTAGTTGGGATTACAGGCACCCGCCACCATATCCAGATAAATTGTAATTTTAGTAGAGATGGGGTTTCACCATGTTGGCCAGGCTGGTCTTGAACTCGGGACCTCAAGTGATCCGCCCACCTCGGCCCACCTGGGCCACCCAAAGTTCTAGGATTACAGGCATGAGCCACTGTGCCCAGCCGCCTATCTGTCTTTTGATTGAAATATTTAACTGGTTTTCTTTTAATATAATTACTGATAAGGTGGGAGTTATTTGTGGGATATCTGCTCTTTTCCTTTCATGCATCTTATGTCTTTTGATTTCATTTCTCCACTACTTCCTTTTGTATCAAATAGGTATTTTCTAGTATATCATTTTAATTTCCTTCTTGTTCCTCTTACTGTATTTTTTGAGTTTTTTCCTTCATCCTAGGGACTATGATTAATATCTTAACATAATCTAAGTTCAGATTAATGCCAAGCTAATTTCAGTAATACTCGAAAATTTTAGTATAGCTCTATTCCCTCCCTCCACCTTTGTGCTATTATCATCGTACAAATTGCATCTTTATAAGTTATAACCCTATCAACATTATTTCATAAGAATTGCTCTATGTAGTTGTCTTTTAGGTCAGACAGGAAAAGAATTACAAATAAAAATACATTTATACTGTATTTCATATTTACCTATGTAGTTACCCTTAATGATGCTTTTTATTTCCTCATGTGGATTGGAGTTATTGTCTAGTGTTCTTTCATTTCAGCCTGAAGGACTTCTTTTAGCATTTCTTGTAAGGTAGGTCTGCTAACAGTGAATTCTCTTAGTTTTTATCTGGGTGTGTTTTAATTTCTACTTTTTTTTTTTTTTTTTTTTTGAGGGTGTCTCACTCTGTCACCCAAGTAGGAGTGCAGTGACACAATCAGGCCTCAACCTGCCAGACTCAAGTGATCCTCCCACCTCAGCCTCCTGAGTAACTGGGACCACAAGCACACGCCACCACATCCAGTTGTTTGTTGTGTTTTTTGTAAAGATGGCTTTTTGCCATGTTGCCCAGGCTGGTCTCAAATTCCTGGGCTGAAGCAATCCTCCTGCCTCAGCCTCCTAAAGTACTGGGATTACAGGTATGAGCCATCATGCTCCTCCTTTCTTAGGATTTCTCTTAAATTAAGTAAGCAGCATCTACTACATTCACTTAGAACACTAGACATTACCACCCATGATAGACCATCTAAATGAGAAAATTGCTTCTCTTATTTCATAGAATGTCCATGCTGATTTCCAAAGCACAAGGCATCTACCTTCAGTAAACAACACAGAATATTAGAACACCAGAGTTCAAGTTCATGTCTATCCACTCTCCAGCTCCAACTAAGAGGGCCTAAGGGACAGACTGTTCATCAATGACTGTAGACTAATGGTTTTCACCGCTTCAGGCTCACAGCCACTTTTTATCAGAAATATTTTAAAACATGTTTTATTATTCTAAAACACAAACAATATAACTTAACCTCAGGCATATTTTTAATCATCTTTCATGATTAAAGGTATCTTTAATATCTAACTGTAATGTAACAGAGAAAAGGAAGCAACTTATGATAGTATATAATTCAATCTGGAAATGGCCAAAACTCCTGATGACACAATAATTAGGTGCTTGCATATGTACATATAATTACCATTAATGTGCCCACTACAAATGCAGACTACTGCAGTACTTTTGACCTGGAACTCAAATGCCACAAGCAATGTTGCCACTAGTGAGTTTTTAAAATGATAGAAAACTCTTGGTTACGTACTGAACAAAGACTACAACCTTCCCTCACTTAAGTGGTAATTGCATTTTTGGGCAAATCAAGTATTGCAGATCTGCAACAACAAAAATATGAAATGGAATTATAATATAAGCTCAAAAAATTATTGTCGATGTCCACCAGTCAGAGATCGTGAGGAACAGATCTGATTGAATCGAGTTGGGTTTATCAGCATGCTTTTGCACAAGAGATCACACACCATGGGGAACCATGGGGTGCCTCAGTATGGGAGTGCTGGGAAGGGCTTTTTATAGGATTTGGGGTTGTGTTGGGTGATTTCAAGAAGGGCTCCATGAATTCTAGTTTTACTCTGGATTGAGTGCTTTCAGAAAGCAAGGGCAATTCTAAATGAGTGTAAATATTAAAATTTTTAATCTAGGACGAAGAAGGAACAGAGTGATCCAATGGGTAATGAACCAACTATCACACATGTAAGCCAAGAGACAGGAATGTTTGGTCGCTCTATGAATTTACACAGAATCTTGCTTCAAAGTTTAACATGACTATGGAGTGTCTTAATTTTTGTCTTCCTCCACCACATTCAAAGTGGCCTTGTCAGATGTTGGTGTTCTATAAAATTGTTTATATTCAACAGAATAGCCTAGCCATTAGAGCCAGGTCAGCTTCCAACTGACAGCTGTAAGGGTGGCTTTTCTTTTCTCATTATAAACAGGATTTCCATGTACATAATTATTCAGCGAGGTACAAAGAAGTCATGAGATACAGGACAACTCTTTGCTGTCTAAAACTGTCCTATGCTATTCAGGCAACTAGCATCTCTATTCACTTTCATTCACATTTCATTGGCCATTGTTCACTCACATTTCATGGCCTCAAACGAATTAAGGAAGCTGGGAAATGTAGAACAAATGGAACGTTTAGTGAGCATTACTATCTCTACTATATGCACCCTTCAATAAATTATTTTACTTCTCTCAGTATTAGTTACCTACCTGTAACATAAGGTTACATGGCACATAATGGTCATTTTTCCCTCTTGGGGAGAATCATATGAGATAATACATAAAAGAACTTTAATAAGCCCTAAGAGTTACACAGATTTAAAAAGGCCCATAGTACCTATATGTTGGAATTAATGTGCCATCACCTCTGCATGCGCACACACATCTTCACCTATCTACTTAGAGGTCTGGGTCAAAGAATACTCTGGGGGATTTGGAATTAGAATGTGATTTTACTAAGGCTAGGCGCAGTGGCTCACACCTGTAATCCCAGCACTCTGGGAGGCTGAGACAGGCGGATCACCTGAGGTCGGGAGTTCGAGACTAGCCTGACCAACATAGAGAAACTCCGTCTCTACTAAAAATACAAAATTAGCTGTGGTGGCGGACACCTGTAGTCCCAGCTACTTGGGATGCTGAGGCAGGAGAATCGCTTGAACCCGAGAGGTGGAGGTTGCAGTGAGCCACGATCGTGCCACTGCACTCCAGTCTGGGCAACGAAAGCAAAACTCCATGTCAAAAAAAAAAAAAAAAGTGATTCTACTTTCATTTTTCTAGCACCATTCAGTCAATTCACCTGTATCCAAGGCTGACCAGGGACAATAGAGAGGAAAACCACGTAGCCTCAGTCTCTCCTAATTTCTTCAGTCTTGATGAAATGATTAAAGTGTCACAGATTTTATTTTCCAAAGAGTATCTCCCATCCCACATACTCTTATTATAATGTAATCTTAACACTCCTTTCATCAAGTACTGGGCTCTATGTACCCTTCTATTGAAGCTGGATGGACCTTGGTTATTGCTTCATCCAATGAAGTATGACAGAAGAGACATAATGTGAATTCCAAGATTAGTCATTAAAATGCCATGCACTTCTCTTGCTCTCTTGGAAGGCTCATTGTTAGAACCCAGTGCCAGGTTGTGAAGAAGTCAAATGTGCCCTCAAGGAGAAACTACAGTGTAGGTGTTCCAACCAACAGCCTAGATGATGCCACAGCTGACAGCCAATGTCAACCTCCAGGTCAGTGGCTGAAAAGCTCCATGCCACTTCCTGGCTCCTTCCCCAGCCATCACTGTGCTCCATCCAAATTCCTGGCCTACAGAATTTGTGAGCAAAATAAAATGACTTCTCACCAGTACCAGTAATTCTGGGGGTGGAGTTTTATGTAGCAACAGCATCTGGGACAGTGCAACTCAGTGGCAACTATAATATTCACTTAAGTACTACATAAAGATCAACTATGTATTTACTAAATTATTACATTTCTAATACTGTACTAACAACTGGAGTGTACTGTACTAACAACTCCAGTTAGTACAATATGGAAAGTTAGTACAAATGGAAGTAATCATGGATAATGCTCAAAAGTGCACTGTATTGACAAGAATCCAGTTAGGCTATGAGCAACAGAGAAGTCAGAACAATAACACTTGAAGAAGATAGTTCCCTTCACTTTTATTAAAAGTTCAGACAGCTGGCCAGGCATGGTGGCTCATGCCTGTAATCCCAGTACTTTGCGAGGCCGAGGCGGGCGGATCATGAGGTCAGGAGATAGAAACCATCCTTGGCTAACACGGTGAAACCCCGTCTCTACTAAAAATACAAAAATTAGCCAGGCATGGTGGCAGGGTGGTAATCCCAGCCAGTAGGGAGGCTGAGGCAAGAGAATCGCTTGAACCCAGGAGGCAGAGGTTGCAATGAGCCGAGATCACACCACTGCACTCCAGCCAGGACGACAAGAGCAAAAGCTCTGTCTCAAAAAATAATTCAGACAAGCAGTTCAGGGATGCTATACACAAGATGGGATTCAGACAATATCTACCTCATTTATCTGCCATTCACAAAACAAAGCCTTTACCACATAGTCCAAGATGGCTGCTCTAGTTCCTGCACTGTGTCTACCTTTCAGGAAAAAGGGGGAAGGGATGGGCATGCCTCCTCCTTTTAAGGATACTTCCTGGAAATGTATCCATTGGCCCGAACTCGGTCATGTGGCCACACCAAGATACAGCAATAAAATGTGGGAAAGGTTATCTTTATTCCAGGATGCCATGCCCTAGCTAATTAGGTGGTAAATCTGTAGAAGGGGAAAAACGAGTATTAGGGAATACATGGTAGCTCCTGCCACATGCATATTCTAAAATTCAGTTGTTACTTGGTTTAGGATTACAGTTCAAACAACACAGTTATCTAAAAGAATTATACCAATGTATCCTCTGTTAGACTCTCAACCCTAAAGATTTAGGTTAGATCTTTCAGATTAACTTTTAAAATGTCTTCAGTGCAGTATCAATTCTTCTCACCAGACAGAACAGCTGAGTATAAGTAAAATAAACAAGCTCTTAACAAATTATTAATTTTTAAGAAAGGAAAAGGCATTTAGAGCAAATATTTTCTCTAAAAATACTAATATATCGTGTTTTATATCCTACAGATATTCCTGTAATCTGTTTTCCTTAGGAAAGTCACTCAATAACCGGAAGTTCTGTTACATCATCTAAGTATTACATATTTGTCATGAGGATTAAATGAGATTACACATGTCAAATGCCTTGTAAACAGTAGAATTTTATACAAATATAAAGTTTTGCACCTTCAAAGCTATCACTCCAATAAGACACTTATTCAATTAAACAAATAATCTTAAAAACTATTTTAACAATGTACAAATATATTCACAACATAATCTGCTGATTAAGACTTCAACAAATTTATAATACCTACAACAGAATTTACAAATGCCTACAATAGTTTGTAGATTGGTTTACAGTTACACAGAATGCTTTAAGAAATACCATTAATACAAATGCATAATTTACAATATCCCCATTATAGCAAGAAAAAAATAGATTCAGAAAATAAAATGTCCTTTAGGCATTTATTATGCCAAGTATGTAAATGATTATTCTCATTATGACATGAGAATAATGCTCTTTTAGTGGTAAAAGATCTATTAGCGCAAGGTCCACTGAAGAGCTTTCAATCTAGCTACCCTTTCTGTAAAATAAATAGAACAGCAGCAATCTCTGGGTATTCCTTAAACAAACAATGATGATTCCACTTATATTAACTGGGCCTTAAGTAAATGACTTCTTACAAATAAAAATAAGATTTTAGAAAGTAGTTAATACCACTGGCCCTAACTGTTTTCACTTGCTTGTATATGTCTAAGAAATTTCCCCATGAAGTACATATTAAAAACTAACAATAATTTCTGACTTATACATAAGCCAAAGTGCTCACTCTTAACCATGGAAGCAAAATTTACTCCTGAAAATCATCTACAGAAATAATATGTAAACACACAGAGCTTTGAGACAGACTAAGAACATCCTCCCATGTTTTATGGATCAAAATGCAAAGGTCTCCATTACCTATGTAAATGAACACTTTCATTAACTTGGGATATACTGATATTACATGGCTGTGTGCATACCTATGGAACATGTGCATACCTACACCACAGAATAAATCTTGACAATGTTTCTAGTGCCAACATATACTTTCTAGCCCCAAATGCTGGAAAGGAAATAAAAACTTAACATGAAAACTACTTTTCCTTTTTATAAATAAAGTTTTTAAGTGGAAAAACAAAGCCAACACTCCTCGTTGCAACATGGACTAAGCTCTAAAAGGTTCAGAGTCAAGAATCTCTTCAGTTGTTCCCCAATGTAACAAAGCACATTAAGTTTTCTCTATTCAGGAAGTCTGATCATCTCCAGTGTTCTGCAAAAGACAAAAAAAAAACTCCTTAATATCAAAGTTATTTCACTTCACACACCATGGACTTCAAGGCCTACGCCTAGGAAAACATTCTATATTTCTAAGCAGAGCATTACCTTACAGACAATGGCCCAATCACATTAAAAGTAGACATGCCAGGACAGGAGCGGTGGCTCACGCCCTGTAATACCAGCACTTTGGGAGGCTGAGGTGGGCAGATCACAAGGTCAGGAGATGGAGACTATCCTGGCTCTAACACGGTGAAACCCCGTCTCTACTAAAAATACAAAAAATTAGCTGGGCATGGTGGCGGGCACCTGCAGTCCCAGCTACTCGGGAGGCTGAGGCAGGAGAATGGCGTGAGCCCAGGAGGCAGAGCTTGCAGTGGGCCAAGATCATGCCACTGCACTCCAGCCTGGGTAGAAAGAGCAAGATTCTATCTCAAAAAAAAAAAAAAAAAAAAAAAAAAGTAGACACACACTACTGAAGTAAACCCATGGATACCATCATCCACCCAGCTGTCCGGTTTGTCCCATTTGAGCAGATGCCAGTACCATGTAAGACACTAACCCTATCCATGTTATGCCAGGTGTAAGGTTTAATTTCACCTGTATTCCATGTCCCTCCCCAGACCTTCAGAAACACTGAAAATTCTAAGGATAAAAACCTAATAAGAACATACATGAAAGTTACCCTAAGGTGGACCACAGTAAAGGTATACTGGGACCATGCAAATATCCTTCAGAATGAGATGATCATGTCCCTACGTGAATATTCACTTTCTCTACTTTTCATCTTCTGGAAGAGAAACTGTACGGTAGCATAAAAAGAACGATAAATTTTGAGTACGAAGGGCTGGGTTTAAGATCTAGCTTTGTACCACTTATTAGCTGTATAATCTTAAGTAAATAATTTAATTTCTCAGGGCTTTAGTTATCTAAAATGTAATCCCTGGACCAGCACCCTCAGTACCACCCAGAAACTTGGGAGAAATGCAAATTATGAGACCCTACCCCTAGATCTACTGAATAAGGAGTCTGGAGGTGGAACTCAGCGATCTTGTGCCCTCTAGGTGATTCTCATGTATGTTCAAGTTTGAGAATTCCTGTCCTATATAACATCACTTGCCCAACCTACTGTACTAACCAAATGCAAGGTATTACTCATATAAAGACCTTGTCACTTTTCTTTTTTTTTTGAGACGGAGTTTCGCTCTTGTTGGAAGAAGAGCAAACTCCCAGGCTGGAGTGCAATGGCGCGATCACAGCTCACCACAACCTCCGCCTCCCGTGTTCAAGAGATTCTCCTGCCTCAGCCTCCCTTGTAGTTGGGATTACAGGCATGTGCCACCACACCTGGCTAATTTTGTATTTTTAGTAGAGATGGGGTTTCTCCATATTGATCAGGCTGGTCTCGAACTCCCGACCTCAGGTGATCTGCCCGCCCTGGCCTCCCAAAGTGCTGGGATTATAAGCATGAGCCACCGCACCTGGCTGACCTTGTCACTTTTCCCAAGAGATTTAACCAATAATTATTTACCTACGACGACTACTCATCCTCCTGAAAACCCTGATGTTGGGGTATTATAGTAAAATCCTTATGTTCTAGGGGGAAAAAAACATCTGAGTACAAATGTTATGGTCCTATTGTGATTCAACTGTTCTCCCTAAAACCATACAACATACAGGCTGGGCGCGGTGGCTCACACCTGTAATCCCAGCACTTTGGGAGGCCGAGGCGGGCAGATCACGAGGTCAGGAGATCGAGACCATCCTGGCAACACAGTGAAACCCCATCTCTACTAAAAATACAAAAAAATTAGCCGGGTATGGTGGCTGGTGCCTGTAGTCCTAGCTACTGGGGAGGCTGAGGCAAGAGAATGAGGCGGGGCTTGCAGTGAGCCGAGATCGTGCCACTACATTCCAGGCTGGGTGACAGAGCAAGACTCCATCTCAAAAAAACCATACGACATACATTCTTCAAGGATATTCACTTAAAGCTCCCATAATTAATGAAAAACAACTGAACTTAAAAGTAATTTTTAAAAAATAAGTTATTATCAATGATAGTTTATCCTTCCTGGCTTTAAAATAATTTTAGGATACTGACAATACACTTTCAGAATATCTTGAACACCCCCAAAGAGCAATTAAAACATCTTTATCTTTATATTTAAATAACTAAATGCCTTTAAAAAACTTCTGTTCAGGAGCGTTTCATAAAAATTAAACTATGGGCTGGGTGCGGTGGTTCACGCCTGTAATCCCAGCACTTTGGGAGGCCAAGGCGGGAGGATCATGAGGTCAGGAGATCGAGACCATCCTGGCTAACACGGTGAAACCCCGTCTCCAGTAAAAATACAAAAAAATTAGCCGGGCGTGGTGGCGGGCACTTGTGGTCCCAGCTACTCGGGAGACTGAGGCAGGAGAATGGTGTGAACCCGGGAGGCAGAGCTTGCAGTGAGCCGAGATTGCCCCACTGCACTTCAGACTGGGCGACAGAGCAAGACTTCGTCTAAAAAAAAAGATTAGAAATAATTGCATCAGTCACTGATCACATCCAGAAAACACTTACTTGTCGTAAGAACTGCTTTCCAAAATATGAAGTAGCCATGCTGGTTAAATTCTTTCTGCTGCCCACCTTACACCTGATGTAACCATACAGGTTGGCACCTTGTAGCACCACACCCATGATAACCACCGCCTGGGACAAGGGAAAAAAATAATCAGTGGTTACTGGCCTGAAATTGACCTTTCTCTGTGCCATAAATGAGACAAGGCAGATTGTCATGAGAAAGAGAGGGAAGAGGAAGCTCTGCAAAGCCATGATTGTGCCAGTGAGACTTTTCCAGAGACAGCTGCCAGAATAGACCCAACTGATAGACGCTCTGCACAAGGCACGAGTCATTCACCCAGCAGGTATTTACTGAACACAACCGCTCTATGTGCCAGGCACATACTAGCTGCTGGGCATGCAGTGAAGGGGAAGCCTTCTTGCTCTCTGTTTCCCACTGGTCTGTGAGTAAAGTTAGGAAAAGTAAATGAGACTCAGGAAAGGCTCAAATGTTCATTATTCCTGTAAGAATTACAAAAGAACAGTCAAGAGGTAGATCAAGTCCAATAAACTGAGAGCAGGCAGGGGTGAATCTCTGCTCTATGTGACAACTGGCTTCTAGTAGAGGGGATGCAATGCCCTAAGGGAGCAATCAACAGATGCCTGCCTTCCCTGAGAAGGGAGACAGCTCCAAGGGGAACTGTACTTTTGCAGAGCTGTTTGTTCCTTTGAGTTTCTTTTTCTCACCTACGGTGGTCCCATTAGGATCAATGAGAAGTGAGAAAAAGAAACTCAAAACCCATTCTTTAAAAATTTCTAATTAATCTCAATTAGAAAAATTAAGACAATGTGAGGAATTCCCATGGTTAAAGATTCTAATACAGTGATCAGCAAAGTTCTTCTGTAAAGGGCCAAATCATAAATATTTTAGACCATACGGTCTCTGTTGCAATTACTCAACTCTAATGTTCTAATCCAAAGGCAGCCATAGACGATATATAAATGCGCAAGGCTGTTTTTCAATAAAAACTTACAAAAACAGGTGTCGGGCTGGATGTGGTCTGCAGGCCATAGTTTGCCAACCCTTGTTCTGGAATAAACAGCTCATCGACCATTCTACTCTTTTATATCTGTGACAAGCAAAGGAGCTCAATGAAATGTCTTTTTCCAATCTAGATTTATTCTCCTTACCCTTAACAAGATGTATGGCTGATTTTAATGTTTAATTAATAGATTTAAATGTTTGATTAATGAACAGGGTCACATTCCTAGTAAAAGACGAGGAGGTGGTACTTTCTGTTCTAAACTTATGTTTCATGGAATTAAACGTGTTAGTGTAATAAGAGGTTGCTAGTTACCTACATAAACATAAAACTGTGTCTTTATTTGAATAAATGTCCTTTTAACTTCCCATGCTTCTCAAATAGTGGCGCTGCTGGGTATGTATATATCAACATGCAAGGGTACACCTGAATTCACAGACCAATCACAGGTCCTGCTAAGGCATCAATTTACTCAATGGCAACAAATGTTAAAATCTATAAGTTAAACTTCTGGTTTAAGATGGTGCAGTAAAGTCAGGCATGAAGATCTTCCTCCCCTTAAGGTATAAACAGCAAACAGCGTTTTTAAAAACGCAAATAAACTAATACCAACAAACATAAAAAAGGGCTGGTGGCCGAAGAGCCAGCCTGGAGCAGCTCTACACAGCTCCACACTCTCCAAAGAAGCTCTAAGGAAGATTTCACTAATAACTGCCATCCCTAGCAACTTACAGAAAAGCAAAAGACCCGAGAAAAAAAATGCAGAAATAGCCATGACAACAGAAACTCCTCCCAACTAACAATGGCCCAAAAAGGCAGGAAAATCCCTGCAGCTGGCCACAGTGGTGCCACCAGGTGGGAAGAAGGCAGGAGAGGAAGCACAGAAGCATCAATAATCATGACAGCTGATCATCTTAAGAGAAGTGAAAAGGTGGGAGACTCATGGAGAGCCTGGGTGAAGCCCCTTCCTGTCCTGTGGTCTTAACCCATTTATTTTTATTATTTTTAATTATTTCTTTCTTTTGAGATGGAGTCTTGCTCTGTCGCCCAGAATGGAGTGCAGTGGCACGATCTCTCCCTGCAAACTCCACCTCCTGGGTTCACACCATTCTCCTGCCTCAGCCTCCCGAGTAGCCGGGACTACAGGCGCCTGCCACCATGCTAATTTTTTGTATTTTTAGTAGAGACAGGGTTTCACCATGTCAGCCAGGATGGTCTCGATCTCCTGACCTAGTGATCTGCCCACCTCGGCCCTCCCAAAGTGCTGGGAATACAGGCATGAGCCACTATACCCAGCAGTCTTAACCCATTTATACTGTAGGTTGCAATTTTGTAAATTTTTGCATGAGTGAAAAATCAGACTTTGGTGATGACCTTGAGCAGTAGGATATAAATAACTCCTACATGCTTAGCGTTCCAATAATGGAACACTAGGCATAAGTAGGTTAACACAGGATCAAACTGGCTTTCACATAACCTCTCCCTGTTTTGTTTTAAGGAAGTAGAAACACTGCTAAAAAAAAGACTGGGCTGACTCTCCTGGATGGATGCTAAAACTCCAAGGTCTCACAAACAATCCAAAGCAGACGGGAAAAACCAGAGGAGAGTGCATAGCCAACTAGGAGACAAGAGCTCCACTAAGGAAGAGAACGCAAAACCAGGCAGCCCAGCCAAGACAGCCAGAGCCTGGCGAGGTCTCCACCTCGCACCTCACACCTGTGTCTTAATGCCACCAAACCCAGCACCGCAACTCCAGCTCAGAGCAGCAGCCACATGCCTCAGACATCAGGGGAAGGTGGTCAAGGAAGATTCACCCTCACTAAACCAGCAGAAAGAGAAGGGCTAGACAGGGCTGTCACTGTAAGGATAAGCAAAATGGATAAGGACAAAGGGAAGTGCATTTATGCAAAACTATAGCAAAAAAAGAAAAAAGCAGCACAGTATACAGAAGATAGGTGAAGAATCTACTCAGAAAGAAAAAAAAAACCATCAAAATAAAAGCATTCCTGGGAATATTTCACCCTATAGAAAAACCTAAAGATAAGAACTCAAAAAGCATGAGGATGAGATAACAGGAGATGAAAACGGAGCTGACAAAGCTAAGGAAATACAGAGAGAAGCCTTAGCTGAGCACCTAAAATAGTTACTGTTCTCTCCTCTGCCCTCTCTACCCCATTACTTTGTATCATTAAGTAACATACCCTACTGCATTTTTTACTGTCTGTCTACCTTCCACTAGAACACAAGCTCTACTGGAACAGTCATCTTGTTTACCTGTCCCCTAACTTATCCCCCTGTGTCCCCAGGCCGCTCTGACATAACAGTGAACTCTTAAAATTGCTGAATAAATAAAGAAATGAATAATTACAGCAACAAGAAAATAGTAGACGAGAACAAATAAAAATGATCCAACATAGACATAACTAATACTTCAAAATTAAAGGTCAAAACATAGAACATAAATAAATGCAAAGATTTAACAGAAAAAAATTTTCCTGATTCCAAGTAAAACTTTAGTCTGCCTGTCTCAGAAAGGCACACAGGCTCCAGAAAACTGATATGGAAAGATAAATACAGATACATCCGGATTCCACGAACTAAAAAAAAACAAAACAAAACCTTATGGGGAGAGATTTACAAAGGTTAAGTAAGCCTGGCCTCAGACTTCTCCAAAATATTCAATATAAGAAAATGATGGACTAGCATCTTCCAAAAGGAAACAAACTGTGACCCAAGAATATTAATCCAGCCAGGTCATCATTCAAGAATGGTCAATAGGCTCATATGTTTAAACATGAGTCAAAAGAAAATGTAACCAACCAATAAGTAAAAGGAGAAGCTGCAGTAAGACTGATGATAGGCAATGAATCGATTTTTTTAAAAAACAGATCAAAGACTGAACACCCACTAAGAAATATGTTTTCAAAAGATAACTATTATAATACTTGGTAACACAAAAATAACATTAGAACAAACAAGAAAGAAAGGAGGAGACTCATAGGAAGGAATATGAGTGTTTATTTTCTTCCCTTTCTAAACAGAGTCTATTAAGTCAATAAACAGGTTTAAGTACATTAATTAATGTTACAAAGAAAACCACTAGAAGGACTAAAATAAGACTACAATAAGCAAAACTCTAGAGGTAGGAACAGGGAGAAGTTAAAGAAACCATATGAGTATAAAGTTTCCCATTTTGCAGAGCAGGAAATCTACAAATATTGAATAAATTTCCTAATTCATGAAAGAGGGTAACGATATAAACATATAAAGTAATTAAAGGTAACTACTAGAAGAACTGAAAAAGATAGTAAGTTTCCAAATCCAAAGAAGTATGAATGTATGAGCACACACAAAGAAAAATAGAACCTGTATCGCAAAACAGAACTAAAAAAATACTACAAATTAGGAGGAAAAATATAATTAAGGTCAAAATATACCTGATATCAGTAAATATTGTGTGAAAAAATTTCACATATCCCTAATGATAAGAACTCGGTTGTTGCTTCCTATGATTACCATCAGACATCTTAATGGATTATTTGAAAGTTCTACATTGATACTCACCAACCATTTTACTCTGAAGGAGAAGAGTGCACTAAAGGCAAATATCACCCACAGCACTGGACAGGCAATAAGTCCCAACCAAAAGATTCTTGATTCAGCCTCTGACACAGTTTTATTCTCTTGAGAGGACTCCTATAAAAGAACATAAATTCATTTATCATGTTCTGAGATTTATCAATAAAAAGTTCAACATGTTTAATAAAAAACATATTACTCACAAGTTCAAATATTAATACAGACAGCCCAAGTCCTAAGTCAGAAGCCATAAAAACATGACTTCCACTCTTGTAATTTTAGGAACTGATCTATATTAACTCAAGAATTTTGCATTTTGCATTTTCAGGACAGGATGGATGGTTTACCACAACACATGACAGTAAAGAGTGGTCTCTGATAGGCTTCTATTCAATTCTTCTTGCACTTGTACTACTTATTCATAAGGAAGCTCTAAATGACACCTTTCTGACTAAGGATCAAGGAAATCACAGTTATAATCATTCTGGAGACTAAAAGGTCAAATTAGCATCCAGAGGGTGAAAAAACTGGAATTAAGGGATTCAAGACAATTATCAAAATGTCTTAGCAATATCCAGGAATTTACAAGGGTGGTAAGTTGTGTCCAAGGTAGATTCTATAATATAAAAGAATACAGGCTCATTGAACACAGTGCCACTTTCTTAAAATAACTTGTCAATACCCTTGATGTACTGTCGCCAAGAATTTGGTCCTCTGCTTCCAAAACTTATTTCCATGAGGAAAGTGAATATTCACTATAGTGTAGCAGGCTAACCCAAAACAGACCGGGACCCCCAGGGCTCCTGAAGGCAGAGGTTTGAAGAATAGAGTGCTCTGATCAGCTTTTCTATCCAGTTGCACTCCTCCTCCTCCTTTTTCCTGCCCAGAAAGGAAAGACGACCACAGGAGCAAAGACAAAACAAGATGTTGAAAGCAGTTATCTGCTGGGCATAGAGGGATTCATGGAGATACTAACGAAGGCAACACAGAGGTATTTTATCAGCAGTCCCTGACAGGCAGCTTAGCACACTGTATAAACGCTGACCCAGCGTCTTTCCTCAAAGGCTTCTGTTCTGTGTATTGCTTGTTTCCGGTCTGAACTAGACAGAAAAATGCATTAAATTCTAGAAGGCCATCTCCTTTAGTACTGACATGCCAAGTGATTTGCTAAGTGTTTTCAATTCTGAATACTTCATCTTCTAATATTTAAATATAATCTACAAACAATTTAGCTGATAACACTATTTAAAACAAAAAAGGCACTTTACCTTTCTAGATTCAAATACCCAGTGGCTCTTTCCATCTTCATCAATGTGATTCCACCAACGTAGGCCAACCATTAGTCTACCTGTGACATTCTGGTGAAGATTAATGTAAACAGGCACATTTTAAAAGCATTATTTAAAGATCTATCATCAGCTCATATCTTAAGTGTAACATTTCACAAACAAAAACCTTCAGCTTTACCTTCATAATATCCAGTTAGCAAAGACTACTATATATCAGGCCTGGCTAAATGATTAAGTAAAATGATAATGGCAGTACTAGTAAAGGTAGAGGTAACAGAGAAAGCCACAAGTCTACCCATAAACATTACCCCTTCTCTTTTCCCTCATGAACAATTTGCCCTTTCTCCCGTTCCCTAATTTTCCCTAAACTCCTTGCTATTTGGTTACTGTGACCTACCTTACATCCTGACTATAGCTACATATATTTTACAACTACATATCCCCAAAAATGGTTATACACACTAGCCTTCAGTCAGTCTCTCAAGTGTACCAAGCTCTTTTCCTACTTACTAAGGTAACAAATTCCTTTGATAGCTTTCCTAATGTTTATTTACTCAACAAATATTTACTGAGCATCTACTATGTGCTGGTAATACAACAGTGACTAACAGATACCATCTCTTTTCTCAGAGAAAGAGGTGAAGAGGGAGCAGACAACCAATGTACAAATGTACCATTATCAACTGAGGTAAAGTCCTGCAAGGGAAAAGTGTGGGATGATTGAAGAGTATTAACAGTGAAATTTGATCTAGTCTGGGTATCAGAAAATGACTCTCTGAGGAATCAACATTTGGAATGAAATTTAAAGAATAAATAAGAATCAACAGTACCGGGGATGTTTAATTAATGATGTCCACTAATAGATTCAGTGGTTCTGTGAACTTCGATGGGTAAAAAAAATGTTATCTTCATTTCCATTAACCCCTGGCTGAAATTTAACATATCTTTAAATTATGAATGTAGACAATAAACTATGAATGTAGGTAAAATTAAAAACACCCTGACGAAACAGAAATCACATTTTTTTATTTTGTACTATACCTGCTACAGTTATCTCAAAATATTGTAGGGTTTTTTTTGTTTTGTTTTGTTCTTTGTTTTTGAGATGGAGTTTTGCTTTTGTTGCCCAGGCTGGAGTGCAATAGGGCGATCTCAGCTCACTGCAACCTCTGCCTCCCAGGTTCAAGTGATTCTCCTGCCTCAGCCTCCCAAGTAGCAGGGATTACAGGCATGCGCCCCATGCCCAGCTAATTTTGTATTTTTAGTAGAGACGGGGTTTCTCCATGTTGGTCAGGCTGGTCTTGAACTCCTAATCTCAGGTGATTCACCGGCCTCAGCCTCCCAAAGTGCTGGGAATATGGGAGTGAGCCACCGCACCCAGCCTCAAAATACTGTTTAGGCTCACCACTGCTTTGAAAGTAGTTAGTATATCTTTAAATTATTAATGGAGACAACAAACTACGAATATAGATAAAATTAAAAACACCCTGACACAATAGAAACCACAGACATTTTTCATTTCATACTATACTTGCTGCAGTTATCTCAAAATATTGTTTATGCTCACTACTGCTGTGAAAGTAGTTATTAGACCTGCCACTAGATCTTACCATTAATAAATTTATAAAGTATCGTAGTCCTCCCTTATCTGCAGGGTATACAATCCAAGACCCCCAGAAGATGCCTGAAATTGTGGATAATACCAAACCCTAAATATGCTATATTTTTTCCTATACATACATACCTATGATAATGTTTAATTTATAAGTAAGGCACAGTAAGAGATTAATAACAAGAAATAAAAATAGAACAATTATAACAACATAATCTAATAAAATTTATGTGAATGTGGTTCTCCTCATGCAATATCTTACTGTTTAGTATAGTATACTACAATAACTGAAATCACAGAAAGTGAAACCTCAGATAATGGGGGGACTACTACACATACCACTCAATCAAAAATTTACTTAATATTTTTAAATTATATTTCAATATAAGTGACTTCCTTTGTAATCTTATGTACCTTATATATGTGAAAACATTATCATGAGTCTATGAAAGGGGCCCATGGCATAAAAAGATTAGGAATCCCTGTATTAAGGTGATGTGGGAGCAAGAAGAGCATTCCAGATAGAGTAGTAGGCACTGACGCCCTAATGAATAAAGTATAATCCATGGATTTATGGGACTTGGTCATTAATAGGATATGGAGTAGGAAGGAGGCAACTGATACATTTCTCGTTTGCTCAAGTAAAAAAAGTAGTGATTCCAGACCCTGTGAAAGGGAACACTTAAAGAAGAAGAGTTTTTGGGGAGTGGAAGATGACAAGTAGTATTCTACATATGTTAAGATATGAGATGCCTGGCCAGTCATGGTGGCTCACTTGGGTTCAAGACCAGCCTGGCTAACATAGCGAAACCCTGTCTCTACTAAAAATACAAAAATTAGCCAGGCGTGGTGGCACATGCCTGTAGTCTCAGCTACCAAGGAGACTGAGTCAGGAGAATCGCCTGAACCCGGGAGGCGGAGGTTGCAGTGAGCCGAGATCGCACCACTGCATTCCAGCTTGGGCAACAAAGCGAGATTTCACCTCAAAAAAAAAGATCTGAGATGCCTTCAAGACAGCCACATAAAAACGTGAAGAAGACACATGAGGAGAGGCCTTGAGTTGTGAAGACAAACCTGAATGGAGATACAGATCTGGGAGGCAACACAGCTTACAGATCAGCAATCAAAACCAGAAGCACAGATGGCACTCCTTAGGAAAGGAATACAGAAGAAAAGGAAGAGTCTTATGAAACCAAAATTCCTATGGAAGAGATGTTAAGTGGAAAAAAAAAAAAAAAAAAGAGCTGGCAAGGGAGATCTAAACCAGAGGTATTTTCAAAGAATGCTCTCAGAATACTTTCAAACTCTTCCATGTTCCCATTTTCCAACTCTTTCCTGCTTTTATCTTTATTAGCTTATTTTCCTAATTTCTCAGGCCTATTGCTTATTTTTGAAACTTCTGGATTCAAGTAGTCCATTATTTTCCCTCTATTATTTTCCCTCTGAATTCAGTTTTTGACATATTCAGAAAGCTTGACTGTAAATGATCACCATTAAGGTATAAATAACCTATATTTACAGTTTTTTGCTTCCTTTTAAACCCAATTACATAGCAGTTGGTTTTTTAAAAAGAATTCCAATTTTGACAACCACTTTCCATTAATTTCTAGTTCTGTTTCATTGGACTAGAAAATGTAGGTGCTCTGGGCAATTTTATTTCGATTTTCTTCACAGTGATATTTAGTCAATCTTTGTAAATGCTCCACAGGCACTTTACAAGAAAGTATTCTGTCATACAAAGTCCCAAAAACTGCTATTAAATTGATGTTGCTAATTATTTCATTCAGATCCTTCAGACCTTAGTTATTTTTGGCACTTTGGTTTGTTAAAGATTGTAGTTTGTTAGACTTATCATAATGCTTTTCTATCTTCTAATATTTCTAATTTTTTTATACATAGTTTGATATAATTTTACTCTGAATGATCTTAACTGTGATTCATAAAATGACATTTTTTTGTTCCTCTTTGTGCTTTCTTATTCTGATTCATATCTCATCTGATAATCATACAATGCCAAGTTTCTTTTTGTTTGAGTTGATCTGATGTTATCTTTCCCTTCTTTTATTTTTTCTAATGTCATTAATTTGGTTAGATCTTTTGTTTGGACTTTGATTTCTGACCCGATCTTAATATTCTTGTCTTTAAATGGGTATATTAATCAAATTACATTTACTATTATAATGAATTTACTATTACTTACATCACCTTATACATGTGCTTTCTGATTTAAGCTTCCTTGACACTTGCTTTGTTTTCCTTCTTTTGCTCTATGAATTGTTTTACTTGTTCCATCTTCTCTAATGTTTCAGAAGACACATGACTTGTTTTAAATTTTACTAATAGTTGTCATTAAATTTTTAAAACCATTATTTAACCTTTTTTACTCAATTTGTCAGAGTGAAGAATAAAATAAAAATCAATATAAGCTTTAGCATTTAAACATACGTTTAAATTATTTTCCGTTCTCTACCTCTTCTTTATCTTCATTAACATCACCTAGGGCAAGCCTATCCAACCCTCTGCCCACAGGCCTCATGCTGCCCAGGACAGCTTTGAATGTGGCCCAAGAGAAATTCATAAACTTTTTTTTTTTTTTGAGACAGAGTCTCACTCTGTCGCCCAGGCTGGAGTGCAGTGGCGCGATCTCAGCTCACTGCAAGATCTGCCTACCGCGTTCACGCCATTCTCCTGCCTCAGCCTCCAGGTTAGCTGGAACTACAGGCGCCCACCACCATGCCCGGCTAATTTTTTTTTTGTATTTTTAGTAGAGACGGGGTTTTACCATGTTAGAATGGTCTCAATCTCCTGACCTCGTGATCCGCCCGCCTTGGCCTCCCAAAGTGCTGGGATTACAGACATGAGCCACCGCCTGGCCGAGAAAATCGTAAACTTTCTTAAAACATTATGAGATTTTTTTGTGTGTGTGTGTGTGTTTTTAAGCTCATCAGCTAATGTTAGTGTATTTTATGTGTGGCCCAAGACAATTCTTTCTTCCACTGTGGCCCAGGGAAACCAAAAGATTGGACACCTAGGGGTTTAGATAAAGATTGCTTTTTTGTTTTTTTAGTAAGTACATTGAGATTTATAACAATTATGACACATCTCTATTTTAACTGTTTCAGAACCCTGCTTATCCGAAGTCCACTTAATAACTTCCCTATTCTTGACTTCTTAATTTTGCTTCATATCTCCATTGTTTAGCTATCTACAATTTTGCCAAGGATAAAAGGGTGCCATTTTTAAGCCCTTGTTTAAAAACAAAAAAACAAAAACAAAACCTTATCAGAAAATAAACTATTTTGATCACATTTTTTAAAACTCTAAACCCAGAAAAATTTTAAGAGTTTGGAAATTATCAGGAAGATGTGACTGGAAAGCATATTCTGTTTGGCTGAATAGAAATTTTATGAACAACAAAAAGAAACACATATCAAAACTGTGAGTAGGTATGTACTAAATACTTTAGAGCATAAAGTAACAGAAGAAATTCAAATAAATGCAAGCCAAAGAAGAGTGGACAAAAGAAAAACCTAAAGAAAACAGACCTTTGAAATCTTCCTTCTTGGTATTATGTGGCCTATGGAAACTGGCCATCACCAAGCCAACCACTTCTGATATCTATAAGAATTAAAAGATGGCCAGGCGCGGTGTTTCACGCCTGTAATCCCAGCACTTTGGGAGGCCGAGGCGAGCAGATCCACTGAGGTCAGAAGTTCGAGACCAGCCTGACCAACATAGAGAAACCCAGTCTCTATTAAAAATACAAAAAAATTAGCCAGGCATGGTGGTGCATGCCTGTAATCCCAGCTACTCGGGAGGCTGAGGCAGGAGAATCACTTGAACCCAGGAGGCAGAGGTTGCTGTGAGTGAGCCAAGATCATGCCATTGCAGCCTGGGCAACAAGAGTGAAACTCCATCTCAAAAAAAATAAAACAAGAATTAAAAGATCTAAAAATGGACACATTGGTGGGTGTGAATAGGGTTGTAACATCTTACTGGTCTTTAAATCAGTATATGTCTCTGAAACTCCAAAATTAGCCTTTGATTTTTTTTCTCCACTATTTTACTATGAATATTTTCAAACATACAGAGTTAAATTTTACAGCGAATACCCAAATATCATCTAGAGTCCATATTTAATATTTTATTATGCTTACTTGATTATCTATTTATCCATGTACCTATCTATCCATCCATCCATCTCTCTAATCATTGTTCTTGAGTTTAAAACCATTTCTTACACTCCTTTCTATCCCCTACAGCAGGGTGTCTCAACCTTGGCACAACTGACATTTTGGGTAATTCTTTGTTGCAGGGGGGCTGTCCTGTGTGTTAGGATATTTAGCAGCATATCTGCCCTCTATCCACTAGATGTCAATAGCACACTCCTCCCACCTCCAATATTTGGACACTGACAAATATTCAGTGGGTGGCAAGCTTGTCTCTGGTTGAGAAACACTGCCCTAAAGCATCCATAGGAGCTTCTGCAAAAGGTAGGTATTTTTTAAGTATTTGTGGACAACCTACACTGGGGCCTTATCTAGAAATTATATACAGCACACCTACAGGTAAGCCTGAAGCAAAACCCATGGTATGGATTAGAAGCAACATTGTAGGGTGTATGATTGCTAGTCACATTTGTTTATTTGACTTTGAAGCTGATGTAGGTTAGAATATGGCAGAGAAAAATCAGCAGCACAGTAACCTACATGTCTCATCTTGTATCGTCAAAGGGAAAAAATGAAAAAAAAATCTACATGCAATTTGATATATCTAGCACTTTAACACAGACAAGGTTTGAAGTAACAAAAGATTAATACTAATGCAAAATGCTCTCATTATTTTATACATCATTTTCATATTAAATATAATTTTCAAATAAAAACAATCAAAATTACCTTCACTGCCCAAAAGTCACACGACAACAACAAGATAATTGTCACCATACAGGTAATAAAGCTGCTGCTGAGCAACTCACAGAGAAGATAGACGACGATTGCACTGACTCGAAAGAATAAGTGGAAAAATGATGCTACTGGATGTCTGAAAACCAAAACACAATATGCAATTACATTTTACTACAGGTACTAGCAAATGTAGAGAAAAAATGTTTTAGCCGTGGTGTAACTGTGAAGAGTTTTGTCAAAATAAGAGATGACTTTAGGAGGAAGCAAACGTCCTACCTCTCTTTTTCTTAAGTCTCACTATTTGACTAGGCCCTGTTGTCACAGAAAATACACTATGCACAGATGGCTTTAACACTTCATTGAATATAAACTTTCACAAAATATATAATAAAGAACTTTACCTCGCTTGGAGAAATAAGGAAACTATATCTTAGAATCTGAATCATATTTTCAAACCATGCCAAAAGAATTCCTTAGCCCTCAGAAATCACTTCAGAAATTAAGACAAAGTTATCAGGTAGGTTGTTTCTTGTTTTGTTTCTTTCTTTTCTTTTTTTTTTTTTTTGAGATGGAGTCTCGCTCTGTCGCCCAGGATGGAGTGTGGTGGCACGATCTCGGCTCACTGCAAACTCTGCCTCCCAGGTTCACACCATTCTCCTGCCTCAGCCTCCTGAGTAGCTGGGACTACAGGCGCCCACCACCATGCCCAGCTAATTTTTTGTATTTTTTTTTAGTGTAGAGGGATTTCACTGTGTTAGTCAGGATAGTTTCAAAGTTCTGACCTCGTGATTCACCCGCCTCGGCCTCCCAAAGCGCTGGGATTACAGGCGTGAGCCACTGCACCCAGCCTGTTTCTTGCTTTTTAACACCTTTTTTGAGATATAATTCACATATCATACAATTTACTTACTTAAGGTAAACAATCTAATGGTTTGTAATGGTTTGTAGTACATTCACAGAGTTGTACAACCATCACTCCAATCAATTTTACAACTTTTCATTACCCCAGACAGAATCTTTGTACCCACTGGCAGTCATTCCCCATTTACCTTCAAACCCCTCAGTATCTAGCAACAGCTAATCTATCTTCTGTCTCTACAGATTTGCCTATTCTGGACTTTTCATACAAATGAAATCACACAATATGTGGTCTTTTGTGACTGGCATGAAAGATGAAAGAAAAGTGAAAAACAGCGTTTTAGCAGGGTTCAGGTAGAATTTGCTTTCAGTAAGTGAATTTCTTTAGAGAGAATTAAATTTAGAATAGAAATGTCATGTGATTTTGAAATGTGCACAATAAATCAAAATGTAATGTATCTATAGAAACTATATGAAGAAATGGTACATTCTTGGAAAACAGCACAGAATTAAAACACAGGTGTTCAAATAATTGGATCTGCTAATTTTAAAACTCAGTATTAAGTAAAATTCCATATGCCAATTATTCGCAAGAAAATCTGAAATGTCATCTTGGTCTTACACTAAATACTGCATGTTGTCAAACCAGCAACATGCAGTATTCACAAGCACAGCGAAACAACGACATACATACAGAACAGCACTGGACACTAACACAGCTCATGCAACTTCTCCTCCTACCTGATTTTGGATTTTCTTGGTCTATTAGTCGTCTCCTCTTCTGCATCAAACAGGGAAACATCTTCAGTGTCATCATTACTATCCTAGTAGGAAAAATAAATGGTCAAGAAGCAAAAGGATATTCAGTGTTTACACAGTCACTGCATGCAAAACTGCATACTCATCAAAATAGAAGATAAAATAATGTGGTTACAGCATCAGGAATTCAAAACCTAGGAAAAGGACACATGCAGATCCTCCATCCCATCCTCCTCAAATCATCTGGCAACAACCCCAGGTAATAATCCAAGTCTCAACTGCTCCATTCCTGCCCCTAGGCTGCACTTTCTGAGAAAACTCTGGGGTGCAGATGATGCTACTAAAAACTTAACACCTATCCTCACCTGTTCTCTCCCAAGTCACAGAGCAAGCCGAGGCTACTGGGGATAATCTCAAGGTTTCTGGCTCCTTCACAAAATCATCTGACTGCATCCTTAGTTCCATGATCCCTTCTCACAATTCCTTCTCTTCTTATCCAAGGCTAAACCAATTATTTGTGCTCAGAATAACTTCTTTTCATGCCTCCTCAGGGACTTGTTTCATCATTTTCCCCTTTATTTACATTTTCTTCTACCTTCAAGTCTATCTATCAGATCTTTCTTTTTTGTTGTTGTTGAAATGGAGTTTTGCTCATCATCCAGGCTGGAGTGCAATGGCATGATCTTGGCTCACTGCAACCTCTGCCTCCTGGGTTCAAACGATTCTCCAGACTCAGCCTCCCAAGTTGCTAGGATTACAGGTGAGTGCCATCACGCCCAGCTAATTTTTGTATTTTTAGTTAAGACGGGATTTCGCGATGTTGGCCAGGCTGGTCTTGAACTCCTGAACTCAGGTGATCTGCCCACCTCGGCCTCCCAAAGTGCTGGGATTACAGGCATGAGCCACCGAGCCCGGCCTCTACTGAATCTTTCTAATCAGCATATGCATATAAACTTCTTCAAGGCCACTTATTAGGCAAAAAAGATTTTAAGAACCCTGATCTTGAATCTCCCCTTCAATCCTCTACTTTCCCAAAGCATTGCTTCCTTTTACAACCTTAGCCTGTTTTGTTTTGTTTTTTTTTGAGATGGAGTCTTGCTCTGTCGCTCAGGCTGGAGTGCAGTGGCACAGCCTCAGCTCACTGCAACCTCCGCCTCCTCGGTTCAAGTGAGTCTCCTGCTTCACCCTCCCAAGTAGCTGGGACTACAGGCGTGTGCTACCAAGCCCAGCTAATTTTTTGCATGTTTTTAGTGGAGACAGTGTTTCACTGTGTTAGCCAGGATGGTCTCGATTTCATGACCTTGTGATCCACCTGCCTTGGCCTCCCGAAGTCCTGGGATTACAGGCGTGAGCCACCATGTCCAGCCCCATAACCTTAGGCTTCTAAGAGTGGTTCACACCTCAATTCACTGCAATTCCCCTCAACGACAACGAACCTGCTCCTGTTCCTCTCCTAGTGCCACTCAACAGCCTCCCTGCCTTTATCCCTCTCTATTCCAGCCTCTCCTCTACATTACCCAGAGCAATCCTCCCAATATGGAAATCATACCATGTCACTCTACTGCTCAAATTTTTCAATGGCATCCCTACAAGTATAGGATAAAATTTAACTCCTTCACAAAAAGCATAGATGATCACGGAATCTAATGCCCCACACTTGCTTCTGACACTGTCTTCACTGAGCACTGTTGAGCACTGAAGCAATACTGTTAACTACATGGTCTCTAAGAAACACTGCAATCTCTCTCCCATCTCCTGCCTTTCACACGTTGTCTCAGAAAACGCTTCCCTTCCCCATGCCCCGCTCACCACCAGGCAAATACCAAATCATCCTTCAAGTTTTTTAGCTCAAATACTGAAATAGCTGAAAACCTGTCTCTGAAAACCCCACGTTCCTACAGCACTTGGACAAATCTCCATTTGAACAATTATCTCGGAGTATTCTTATTGCAAGTCTACCCACTCCTACCTCCATATATAAACTGCTGGAAGACCTGGAGGACAAGGTCTTTTGTGTGTGTGTGTGTGAAAGTCTTGCTCTGTCGCCCAGGCTGGAGTACAGTGGTATGGTCTCGGCTCACTGCAACCTCCACCTCCTGGGTTCAAGTGATTCTAGTGCCTCAGCCTCCTCAGTAGTTGGGATTATAGGAGTGCATCTCAGCTAATTAGCCTGGCTAATTTTTGTATTTTTAGTAGAAACAGAGTCTCACCATGTTAGCCAGGCTGATTTCAAACTCCTGACCTCAAGCGATCCGCCCACCTCACCCTCCCAAAGTGCTGGGATTACAGGTGTGAGCCACCACGCCCAACCAGGACTGTCTTTGCATTGTAATAAATCCTCGTGTCTAGCAGAGCATTCAGCCAAGTGGTACAATATTTGTTGAAGGCATGAGTAAATAAGCAAAGGAGACTATAGTATACAGCTGACTGTGATCAGGGTTGAGAAATCTAAGTACAAATGGGAGCTGGGGAAGGAAGCAAATCATTCCTACTACAGGGCACTGGAGAAGTTTTCTGGAGGTAAGTTTAGCAGCTGGGCCCTGATAGTCCGCACAGGCCTCCCTAGACTAGGTATATTTTGAAAGGCACAAAATGGCCAAGTAGCCCATGCAGTAAGTGACAGATGGGAGAAGCTCCTATCGAGCTAAGGCTGAAAAAGTAAAATGGATTCAGATCTATGAGACTAGTGGTTCTCAACCTTCGCTACAATTAGAATGCTCTTTTTATTTTTAAAAAAAAAAAAAAGCTGATAATTGGGTCCAGCCCTCAGTGGTTCAGATATAACTGCTTTGAGGTGTGATCACAATGTAGAGCCAAGATTGAGATCCACCGTATGATGTTACGAATAAAAAGCTGAGGCCTTCTGCTCTTGATCCCAACAGTCTAATCGCCATCCAGAGGCCAGGGAGACTTTTTCACATCAAATCATATCATTCCCCTACTGAAACCCCTCAGCACTATGACTGAAAAACAGACTCCCTATCATGATCTATCATGACCTGGTACCTGCCAATCTCTAAGACCTTATCTCAGGCCACTCACCCTTCATGAACTGTGGCAGGCTGAATACCTCCTCACCACTGCCAAAGATGTTTAGGTTCTAATCCCTGGAACCTGTGAATATGTGAATTTACTTGGCAAAAAGAGTTTCACAGATGGGATTAAGTTAAGGATCTTGAGGTGAAGAGATTACCCTGGATTACCCAGGCTGGCCAGATGATGTGATCACAATGGTCCTTACAAGAGAAACAAAGGAGGGTCAGTCAGAGAAGGTGATGAAACAAGCAAAGTAGAGATCAGAGACAGAGATTCAAATATGCTGTGCTGATGGCATTAAGATGGGGAAGGGATCCCAGGTGTTTAGAAGCTGAAACAGGCAAGGAAACTCATTCTCCAGAACCCCTACCCACACCTTGATGTTTAACCCCTGGAGCCTCATTCTGGACTTCTGACCACCAGAACTTTACAACAGTACATAGAAATTTGCTGCTGCAGTAGCAATAGGAAATTTATACAGTATGTAAGCTCCTGCCAGACTGGTTTTTTTTTTTTCTTTTTGAGACAGGGTCTGGCTCTCGCCCAGGTTGGAGTACAGTGGAGCAATCAGGGGTCACTACTGCAGGCTCTACATCTCAGCCTCCTGAGTACTGCAAGCCACCATACCTAATATTTTAATTTCTTGCAGAAATGGGGTCTCGCTGTGTTGCCCAGGCTAGTCTCAAACTCCCAGGCTCAAGCAATTCTCCTGCCTTGGCCTCCCAAAGTTCTAGGATTAGAGGCATGAGCAACCATGTCCAGGCTGGCCTTCTTTTCAGTCCTTAAACATGCCAAACTTAGGCCCCATCAGGTTCTTTTGCACTTATGGTTCATACTACCTAGAACACTTCTCTTACCCTGCTCTTTGAAAGACTGATTTCTTCTCATTTATTCAGTAAATACTGCGTGCCTTCAGGTACTGCTGTAAGTGGTACAGATTTAAAAAAAAAAAAAAAAAAAAAGACAAATAGCTTTGCACTCCTGGAGTTATATTTACTAATGTGCATTTACTAAGATGGGGAAGACACAAAAGATTTCAGGGCAAAATCAGCAGTTTGATTTTGGACATTTTAAGATGCTAGTATCTTTAAAACCAAAAAGCTGAGAGGGAGATCCACTGGAGTGTTCTAACTGTAAGACTGCATGTTCTGACTCACCTGTTAAATAGAGAATTCTGGCTACTGTAGTAAAAATCTGGAGGGGGAGGGGAGAGGAAGGAGGGACAAAGGCATGAAGCTAGGAGACTGATTAGAAAACTACTTCAATCACGAGGCCAAGAAGTAATGGCTTGGTCTAGGGTGGATGCAGTGGAGGTGATGAAAAATAGATCCCAAATACATTTTAAGGTAGAGCTGACAGGATTTGCTGATGGGTTGACTGGGGAGGTGGAGGAAGGGTAAATAAAAGGAATCAAGGAAGATTCCAAAGTTTTTGTCCTGAACAACTAAAAAGATAAAGATGGCTAAGACAGATTCTTGGCATTCCAATAATTAGGGATCACAAAGATAAGAAGGAATAGGCAGTGGGGACTGAAAAAGAAGTACCAAGGAACATGAGGTGAGCCAGGAGGGGGCAGTGTTCTGGAAACCAAACGAAGTGCCTCCAGGAGGAGGATCCATCATCTGTGTCAAATGCTGCTCACAAGTAAGATGAAAACCAAAAAGTGACCACTGTATTTTTTCTTCTTCTTCTTCTCTTTTTGAGACGGAGTCTCGCTCTGTCACCAGGCTGGAGTGCAGTGGCGTGATCTTGGCTCACTGCAACCTCCGCCTCCCAGGTTCAAGCAATTCTCCTGCCTCAGCCTCCCGAGTAGCTGAGACTACAGGCAAGGGCCACCACGCCCAGCTAATTTTTGTATTTTTAGTAGAGATGGGGTTTCACCATGTTGGCCAGGATGGTCTCAATCTCTTGACCTCATGATCCGCCCACCCCGGCCTCCCAAAGTGCTGGGATTACAGGCATGAGCCACCGCGGCCAGCCACTGTATTTTTAACAGGTCATCGGGGACCTCAGTTCCAGTATGGTTGGGAGAGGAGAAGAAAGGCTGGAAGAATTAAAAGACAAGTATACATGATACAAGTCTTTAAAGGAAAAAGAATGGGGTGACAAGTCAAAGAGCATATGGTGTCAAGTTTTCATTTTTTAAGGTAAGAGAAATTAAAACATGTTTATATGTTGATGTGAACAAACATTTAAAAGGATTAAAAAATTGACGACGCAAGAAAGAGAATTACTGGAACAATGCCTTCCAGTAGGCAAGAGGAGATGGAAACCAGGACACAGTAGACAGGAAGACCTAAGAATGGAGCACGGACAGTCCAATTATCATACAAGAACATGAGACCATGAGTAAACATGCAAATAAATAGGCAGCTAGTGTGAAAATTGTCTTCCAATGGCTTCCATTTTCAGTGAAACAAGAAGCAACATTACCAGCTGAGAGAGGATAAGAGAAGAAATGTTGAAGATTTGAGTTTTAATAGTTGCCTAAGGTGAGAGGGTGAAGGGGCTATAGAAATGGAGAATGACCACCTGGCAGCACTAAGGGCTTGACTGAGGTTCGCGTCACAAACTTACCAAGTGGGAACAGCTGGCTGGGCCTTGCTCTCGCCTGTAATCCCAGCAGTTTGGAAGGCCGAGGCAGGTGGATCACCTGAGGTCAGGAGTTCAAGACCAGCCTGGTTAACATGGTGGAACCCCATCTCTACCAAAAATACGAAAATTAGCCGGGCATGGCGGTGGGCGCCTGTAATCCCAGCTACTCTGGAGGGTGAGACAGAAGAATCGCTTGAAGCCAGGAGGCGGAGGTTGCAGTGAGCCGAGATCGCGCCACTGCACTCCAGCCTGGGCAATGAGAGTGAAACTCCGTCTCATAAATGAATAAATACATACATACATAAATAGTGGGAACAGTCGGTATGGCTGTGTTTCTCCAGCCTCATCCGGCCTGGGTGCCAGGTTCAGATGTCAGAAACACGTGAACCTGAACAACTCCATCTTCAATAGCAGCTGGGTAAAATGAGGCTGAAACCTACTGGGCTGCATTCCCAGACAGAGCATTCTAAGTCAAAGGATGAGATATGAGGTTGGCACAAAATACAGGCCATAAAGACCTTGCTGAAAAAACAGGTTGCAATAAAGAAGCCAGCCAAAACCCACCAAGACCAAGACGGCCACAAGAGTGACCACCGGTCGTCCTCACTACTACACTCCCATCAGCGCCATGCCAGTTTACAAATGCCACGGCAACATCAGGAAGTTACTATGTTCTAAAAAGGGGAGGAATGAATAATCCACCCCTTGTTAACCATATCACTAAGAAATAACCATAAAAATGGGCCACCAGCAGCCCTCCAGGCTGCTCTATGGAGTAGCCATTCCTTTACTTTCTTAATAAACTTGCTTTCACTTTGCCACTTTGCACTGCAGACTCACCCTGAATTCCTTCTTGCCTGATCCAAGAATGTTTTTGGGACAGAGGAAGTCTCCCTCTGTCGCCAAGCTGGAATGCAGTGGAGGTTGACTGCAACCTCCGCCTCCCCAGTTCAAGCGATTCTCCTGCCTCAGCCTCCGAGTAGCTGGGACTACAGGCATGCACCACCACGCGCAACTACTTTTTGTATCTTTAGTACAGACAGGGTTTCACCATGTTGGACAGGATGGTCTCAATCTCTTGACCTCATGATCCACCCACCTCGTCCTCCCAAAGTGCTGGGATTACAGGCGTGAGTCACCGCGCCCACCCAAGGACCCTCTTTTGGGGCCTGGATCAGGACGCCTTTCCTGTAACATAGCTGAATTTAACCATTATTAGATTTTCTCCACTCAAGGCATCTCCTCATAAGCAGTCTTTTCTGACCACAAATCTTCGTTGTCCTATCCTCAGACACTTGCTATTTCATCACCCTGCCTTTGCAATTATCTGAAAATATCTTTGGTTATATAATTTATCGTGTCTCCCCACCCCACTCCCATCTCCTAGAACCCACTTCTCTAACCCGAAAATACGGGGCAAAAAACTTGTCTGTACTGGTCACAGCCCTATCCCTGGGCCTACAACCATGTGTGAGTCATAGTAATCCCTCAATAAATTATGTGTGAGCCGAAAGAAAAAAACACGTAAGACAATCTAAGTGACTATAAACAGTAATTTTTTCTAAAAAGAAGAGATTATTAAATTAATCTTACTAGTCTCCGGTTGCCAACATGTGGACTACAATTTAAGAGCACGAAAGAGAGAATCACCAACAACATTAGTTTGGGAACAGCAACTTGAAAGCGAGGCTCTGGCGGTGTCGCCGATTCCTACAAGATCGCATCGCAGCTCTGGGGGTCAGGGATCTAAGAGGCCCGCAGGCCGCTACTCCGCACCTCCACCCCCGCACTAAGGGCTGAGGGAAGAGAGACCCCCGCTCGGGCTGGTCAACAACGGGCTTCTCCACAGCCGCAAGCAGTACCTGCTCGGCGCCGCACGAGTCACGCCTCCTCCAGAGGCCTCAGAACCCCCAGCTACCCTCCTCAGACAACTACCCACAGCCTTCCACTCCTGGCCGCCCCGCTCCTCCTCGAGTTCGAGTAGCGGGCGCAGGGAAGGTGGACTCCAATCCCAAGGAAGCTGCAGAGCCCATCCCAGGAACCGCCATCCTCCCTGCGCGTCCTCAGCCCCTCACCTGCTGCAACATGGCGGCCCTACGCCAGCCCTACTTCCGGTAGCCACGTCAGCGCAGCAGCGTACGGGTCCGGGTCGGAACTGACGCGACTCGTCACCAAAGGCCAGGAGGTACCACTGTAGGAGCCTCAGTCCGGCTTCACTTCCGCTTTGAGGGAGCAACGCCAGAGGAGTGACTCCGGGGGCGGAGCGAGCGGGGGCGGAGCTGCTGTGTGGGGCGGGGCGACAAGCGCGGACACGGCGGAGGCGGAGCCTGGAGCAGGAGCGAAAACGGGCTGGGAAAGGCATTGGGACCACAGTGGGCTCTCAAGTGGAAAGCTTCGTGCTCTGTTTTGAGGAAGTGTTTGCTGTCCATCCAGTGCAAATTCTGAAGTCATTCCCGCCAGCGTCGCTGCCCGGAATGCAGGAGGTCGGGGTTTTATTCTATAACTTAATTTTCTTTGAATATTTTACAAAGACGTACTCCTGTACAGTATTACGTTTGTACTTTAAATTGTAGAAACAACTTTTTAAAATATGTGCTTGCGAAGAAGTAAAACGTTAAGAAAAACAAGGCAGGAGAACTCTAGAGTAAGTAATGGATGGCATTATGGGAGGTATAACCTTAGACGCCAGGAAACTAAGGAATAGGAGTTGACACCTTGCACCCTGGAGCTTGGACGCCTGTGTCCTCTATTGCCAATCATATCACCAACCTTTATGTACTTCTTTCGTCAGTCGTAAAGTGGGGATGATAATGGTTTCCTTACTAGTAAATGGGAGTCGTTATTCTTATTACTGTTTTAAGTCCAGCAGCTCATGTGTGATCTTGCCTGAACAAAGGATGTGAAATTGAGGGGCGTTAAGTCATTTTTGAAACGGTGATGATGACAGTATCCTATCTGTCTGTCCTAGTCAGACTGCTGCTGTTGGCATAGTGATATTTGCACGTTTCCTTGATTGAAGGGATTTTCTCTATTAAAATAACAAATATTACGTGGTTGTTTGCCAGTGCCATTTAAAACCTAATATTCTAATAATGAAAGGGGAAGAAACACACACGCGTTTCTCAAAGGCGAGAAAGTTCGGCAGCACAATCGCATTCATGCCCTTGGAGATGAAAAGCTGACAAATTTGGGGCCTGTACATCCAGCCTGCCCATGGCAGGTTTTCAGTGGTCCACTCAGTGCTGTGGAGTTTTGTGGTGTTTTTGTTTTTTAAGGCATTCTGTTTTAATTCATTACCGTCTTTTAATTTTTAATAGCTAGTTGTTAAAGCTCATTTTGTATTTTTAGTAGAAACGAGGTTTCACCACGATGGTCAGGCTAGTCTCGAACTCCTGACCACAGGTGATCCACCCGCCTCAGACTCCCAAAGTGCTGGGATTCCAGGCATGAGCCACCGCGCCTGGCCAAGGCTTGAACTTTCTGATGGGCCATAGCTCAGTGGGCTGCAGTCTTCTAAATTACCTGGTCCCTGACACCATAGTCCAAAGGTTTAAGCAGAAACCTCAATGCCCTTGATGGTACTGGCCCTCTTTGTACAGAGGATATTATGCTAATTCTCTTCCTTAGGAGTTAGCCCTGAGAAGGAAAAGCTCAATGTCGTCAAATGCAACAGGTCAACCCCATTAAGGGCTTCCCCTTTTAAATTCTTAATGGATTTCATCAGGCTTCTATGCAAAAATACCAGAAAACTCCAATGCATTACCCTGATATAATCCCATAACTTCATTTGCCGGAAGAACTAATAGCACTAAATTGATAGTGATGAATGGTATCTAATTTCCAATGATCGTCTCCCCATCCCCCTTCAACGAAACTGGGCTTTCCTAATGCTTACTAAATTTTTTTCAGTGGGAGTACAGATGCTAATCTCACCCAACCTCCTTCTGTTTTCTTATTTTGATGATATCAGATATTTGGCTCAGAGGAAGCTAACTGGGAGTTCCCACATTAATTACCAGGAAGAGAACAGTCAAAAAAAAAAAAAAGAAAAGAAAAGAAAAGAAAAAGGCCAAATAGCAACATCCACTTGGCTGTTTATTGCAAAACATTGTAATTTCCCAAGGCTGGTTCAGATAAATACATTTTGTCCAAGTTCAGGGGCCGCTGTTTTCCCTTGCTTCATGAAATTATCAATAGGCAGGCCTTTGATTTTCCTGATCCATGCAGCTTTGCTGGCTTTTCCTGGATCAACCACTCCAGTGGACTCCCTGGCCTGATATTCCTTCATCTTGGCTTCCTGGTGCTCTTTCTCCTCCTTCACGGTCAACAGCACGAACTCAGTGTTCACTCTAAGGGGATCAAGGGCTGTGTAGATGCGAGGCCGTTCTTTGTGAAGAGACAGGGTGGCTGTGCCCACTTGTGGAGCTAGCATGCGGTTTGGTTTAATGACCTGCATACTGGTCAGGGGACTGCACACTGCCCTTTCAATTGAACTGGTCACTTGGTCTCCACCCTTTAAGCTGCGAGAGAACCTGGAGCGGATAATCATGGGCTGCGGCAAGGTGGACTGGACACTGGGACTGTGCAAAGAGATCTTCAAGTTGGGCTGCAGTTTCTGGATTTCAAGGGGAATACTGGTTTGTTTCACATCTATAGGAGGATTGCTCAATCTCAACTGATCAACTGCATGTTGGATTGATTTTCCTTTGAAATTCAAGACCTTCCTTGGGTGTGAAATTGAAGGTCCCCAGACATCAATAATTTCTGTTCGGGGCCTACAGGGATAGGCGAATTTCCCGGAATTATGGGCTTGCTGCAGGGCGCTGACAGTCAGGAGGAATTGGTCAGGTGACATAGGAATTTTCCAAGACTTTTTCTTTGGGTGATTGAGCAGGTTTTCAGGAGTTTCCAATTGTCCTTGTTTTTGTGCTTTCTCCACATCATCTGCTTCTTCAAAAAAAGAAAATGAAAAAAAATCGGCATTCTGTGAAAAATATTAAGTACGTATGTATTAAGTACTTGGGCATTCAGACTTCAAAGCACATTGAGGTCTTTGTTGTCCAACAGGTATGCCACCATACAGGCAGGCATCCTCAGTCGTATTAGAAATGCTGATACTAGAAACGATTTAATAAAACTAGTTTTAAATAAAATGCTAGTATTGAGTAAAGTGTATATTCGCCTCTAAGTGTGCATATTTTGAAGGCAACATGTGATTTCGATGCTCTACTTATTTTTGAAAATGTGAAGTTGGGGCCGGGAGCAGTGGCTCACGCCTGTAATCCCAGCACGTTGGGAGGCCGAGGCAGGCGGATCATGAGGTCAGGAGATCCAGACCATCCTGGCTAACACAGTGAAACCCCCTGTCTACTAAAAATACAAAAAATTAGCCAGGCGTGGCGGCGTGCACCTGTAGTCCCAACTACTCAGGAGGCTGAGGCAGGAGAATGGCATGAACCCGGGAGGTGGAGCTTGCAGTAAGCCCAGGTCGTGCCACTGCACTCCAGCCTAGGCGACAGAGCAAGACTCCGTCTCAAAAAAAAAGAAAATGTGAAGTTGGGAATTATCTTCACATCTCATTTATGATTCACACAAAGCAGATCTTAATAAATTTATAGTAGCATAACTGTATTTTTCAACAATAATTATATTGCAAAATTTGATCTTTACCTTATTAATCGAATTTGACTCCAAATAATCTTGAATGTTGCCCAAAATAAAACCTGTCTTCAGGCCAGGTGCGATGGCTCACGCCTGTAATCCCAGCACTTTGGGAGGCCTAGGTGGGTAGATCACCTGAGGTCAGGAGTTTGAGACTAGCCTGACCAACATGGAAAAACCCTGTCTGTACTAAAAATACAAAAAAATTAGCCGGGTGTGGTGGCAGGCACCTGTAATCCCAGCTACTCTGGAGGCTGAGGCAGGAGAATTGCTTGAACTCAGGAAGCAGAGGTTGCAGTAAGCCAAGATGCTGCCACTCCACTGCAGCCTAGGCAACAGAGTGAGACTCTATCTCAAAAAAAAAAAAAAAAAAAAAGTGAAATCAAGATGTCAAAATCTTCCCTATTCTCCTTGCAAACTCAAAAAGAGAAGTTTTCTCCTTTTATAAAAAAAGGAATTATGATGAGCTCATTGTTTATTAATTTGTCTTTTTTCAAATGATAATGTATTGTGGATCGCTTTCTGAGTTCGTATATACAAATCCTCATCATACAACTTTTAGCCATATATAATATTCCATACAATAGATTTTTTATTACTTAGCCATTGCCTGTTGGTGGACATTTAGTTTGTCAATGATCAACCTAGAAGAAAATGCAGACACCATGTTTATTTATACAAGGAAGTACAAAATGCCAGCTAACTCCCAGAGTTGGCACAGATGCAGTGGGGTCTCCCATACATTGCTTGTGGGAGTGTAAATTAATATAATATTTTTCAGGACAACGTTGGCAATATCTTTCTAGTTTTTGAATGCACTTACCCTTTGGCTTAGCAATTTCACTCGTAGGACTTTACCCTTCAGGTATACCTGTACCTGTACACTGACATAGGTTTATACAAGGATGCCCATTGTTAGCACAGCCCTCATAAAACAATTGTTTTCCCCTCACCTTGAAACCAGTCTCTGCACAGAGTTTGTTCCAAAGAAACACTATTACACTAGTCAAAAATATTTGAAAGACATTTTAAATTTTTACCTATGTCCTTAAAAAATAACAAAGGGACATCCCAGTCATGAGTCATGATGTCTAGAAACCTTTTTTTTTTTTTAGATGGAGTTTTGGTCTGTCACCCAGACCGGAGTTGCAGTGGCATGATCTCGGCTCACTGCAACCCCCACCCGTCTCTGGTTCAAGCAATTCCCCTGCCCCAGCCTCCCAGGTAGCTGGGATTACAGGCACATGCCACCACGCCCGGCTACTTTTTTTATACTTTTAGTAGAGATGGGGTTTCACCATGTTGGCCAGACTGGTCTCGACCTCCTCACCTCAGGCAATCCGCCCACCTCAGCCTCCTAAAGTGCTGGGATTACAGGCATGAGCCACCACGCCTGGCCACTTTTTTTTTGTAAGAGACTAGGTGTCACTATCACCCAGTGGTGCAATCATAGCTCACTGTAACGTCAAACTCCTGGGCTCAAAGGATCCTCCTGCCTTAGCTTCCTGAGTAGCTAGGAGGTGTGTACTACCATATCTGGCCAATTTTTAAAATTGTTTTTAAAGATAAGGGTCTCGCTAAGTGGCCCAGGCTGGTCTCCAACTCCTGGCCTCAAGGAATCCTCCCGCCTTGGCCTCCCAAAGTACTGGAATTACACGCATGAGCCACCATGCCCATCCCAGCAACCCTTCTTAAAAGGCACATCCCCATCTCTCTCTCTCTCTCTCTCTTATCTCCTTATCTCACATATATAGCACCTGCCCCCAATCTCTCTCGTTCCTAATAAAGTCTCTTAAAATGCTCCCTGAAACCAGCCTCAACTGCCTGTTCTCTCTTTTATTGTGCCCATTTCTCAGCTTGATGACATAACAGTCCAAGAAGTGAGGAAGCTGGCAGGGAACACAGGCAGGCTGTCAGCCAAAAACTGGAAAAAAGTTCTCCCTCTGTGGCCTCAAGTCAGAAAAGGGACAATTAAGGAAAACCAGTCACTCTTGGGAGAAGCCAGGCATTGTATTCATTCCAGATTCTCAAAGATAAGCAAAGGTAGTGGCCTGCTGGAAAACGATAGGAAACTAGAGAGAGAGAGAGAGTTGCCACTAATTCAGAATTAAGTATCACTGTTTGTCTTATCTCCTGCTATGGATTTTGCTTCCAAATTCTCCTGCCCACCATCCATGCCACTTGTTCCCTTATGAACAGAATAAACTCTCTTTTTACCATCTCTTCGGGGTGATTTTGACTTTCCTTGACTTTGAGGTTCCTCTATTAACACTGCTAAATTGAGATTGAGGAAGAAGCTGTAGTCATTATATACTTCAATTAGGGCATAAAATAATATAATCAATCATAATTGGGGCTGATAATTGGACTGATTTTTATACAAAATATCACCATCTTGTTTTTTATGGGTACATTATTATACATAATTATGGAGTACATGTGATATTTTGAGACATGCATAAAATGTGTAATGATCAGATCAGGATAATTAGGATATCTGTCATCTTAAACATTTATCATCTCTTTGTGTTGGGAACATTCCAAATCTTCTCCTCTAGCTATTTTGAAATATACAATACATTATTGGTTTTTTGTTTGTTTGTTTTTAAGATGCAGTTTTGCTCCTGTTGCCCAGGCTGGAGGGCAGTGGCACGATCTCGGTCACTGCAACCTCCACTTCCCTGTTCACGGGATTCTCCTGCCTCCACTTCCCGAGTAAGGCTGGAATTACAGGCATGCACCACCACGCCCGGCTAATTTTTTTGTATTTTTAGTAGAGACGGGGTTTCTTCATGTTTATCAGGCTGGTCTCAAACTCCTGACCTCAGGTGATCCACCTGCCTCAGCCTCCCAAAGTGCTGGGATTACAGGCGTGAGTCACTGCACCCGGCTATACATTATTGTTAATTGTAGTCATCCTACTGTGCAACCAAACACTGGAACTTATATCTCTTCCGTCTAACTGTATTTTTCTACCAAACACCATATTGTTTATTGTCGTATGAAACCAAGTAGTTACCTGGAGTCCGTGAAAATAAAGAGAGTGTAACAACCTTCTAAATTGACTATGTGACAGGGAAAAGTGAAGCCCTGGAAACTGAGTTACATAGCACAGCTGTTTTCCTGCTTCCAGACCTCTGTGCTGAGGTCTTTTCCATTAACCAGACTCCCTATTCTTCATTGAAACCGAGACTAAATGATGTGGAGATAGACACTCTTGTGATTGTCACCTCTTTACACCAGAATGTGAAGCAACTCCCCTTGTGATTGTCACCTCTTTACAGCAGAATGCTAAGCAACCATTAGAGGTCATCAATAGTAGCCAATCTAGTCTTACATCTGTATGTTAGCCTTTGTATGGAAAATTGAATTCTGTTCAGCACCTCTGTTTTTGTCTGTTTAAAGGATGTTCGCTTTTCCCCACTCCAGGAGCACTGGTCACTAGTCTTTGGTGTCCCTGGATGCTGCCCTCAAACTTTGCACTTGGATAAACTCTTTTAGTTAGATCCTGAATCTTTTGATTATTTTAGGTTGGCAAGTCTAAGGCCTAGATCGCAGCCTGACTCCCCCTCCGACCCACTTTTCCTGCTGTTAAGCATTAGCTAACAGTCTCAGTTCCCTCCTCTCAAGAGATAGCTGACTATTTGTAGTGTGATATGCTTGGGGGTGATTTATAGTTTTCTCTATAGATCTGTGGATCCAATTTCACCTGCCAAATATAGGGCTGGAATAAGGAAGGAGTCTTGCTACTCTAACCCACACATAATTTATTCTTTGGATGTCTTATAAATGGCATTGGCCATGCCTGCACCCCCACCTACATACACACACACAAACGCACACACACCTGCTTTATATGTAAGATTTTTCCAGCTACAAATATTATCTCTCAGATCTAAAAACATTCTGCATAGATCATTTTTCTGCTTATAACAACTTCTGTCTCTGTCTTGAAGAAATAGTTTTGTAATATATGTTTTAAATTTGGGGGGTTGGGGGTATTGGTTGCTCGCTTTTTGTTTCATTAGTAAGTATTAAAGCTAGTCTTATCTAATGTGCAAAGATTATTTGAAAATCTTGCTTTTGCAGGCCGGGCACAGTGGCCCACACCTGTAATCCCAGCACTTTGGGAGGCTGAGGCAGGAGGATCACCTGAGGTCGGGAGTTTGAGACCAGCCTGATCAACATGGAAAAACCCCGTCTCTACTAAAAAAAAATACAAAATTAGCCAGTCGTGGTGGCTCATGCCTGTAATCCTAGCTACCCGGGAGGCTGATGCAGGAGAATCGCTTGAACCTGGGAGGCAGAGGTTGCGGTGAGCCAAGATCGCGCCGTTGCACTCCAGCCTGGGCAACAGCAGCAAAACTCTGTCAAAAAAAAAAAAGAAGGAAAGGAAGGAAAGGAAGGAAGGAAGGAAGGAAGGAAGGAAGGAAGGAAGGAAGGAAGGGAAGGAAGGAAGGAAGGGAAGGAAGGAAGGAAGGAAGGAAGGAAGGAAGGAAGGAAGGAAGGAAAGAAAGAAAATCTAGATCTTGCAAACCAGAAGGTTCCCGTTAACTGGGTGATAAATTGTTTGGCGGATCAGAGAGAATGGCTCCTACCTTCCTGGAGGGTTAGCATATATATCCTCAGGAAACCATTGGCCAAAATATTCCATAAAGGAACCAGTCCTCCCCGCTCCCACCACCCCGACCAAACCCGATCTGCTGTGTGGGTTATCACTGAACTTGCTGGTATTTCCGTTCTTTACCTGAAGAGAACTTGGCCGGCTTCAGGAGTACTCGGGACTTGGGAGGTTTGCTCGGTAGGAGCTCTTGGATCACAGTTTGTTTACTGGATACAGATTCTCTTGGGCTGTGAACCTGCATATTAGACTTAGAGAGAATTTCCATGAGGCTGTTTTCTTCTTTTTCCTCCTCTTTCTCCTTCTTATTCTTTTGTTTTGTTTTTTCCATGGCATACTGCCACTTTATGTGTTCAAACTGGAACATGAGAACATTGCTCTCTGTGTTGACCACCATCCTGGAACCGAAACAACAGGGTTGTCCACAAAAGGAGTGTGGAGGCCACCGAAAGATGCACTGCAATTACCATCCCACCTAGTCTTTAGACCAAGGGAACAGTGCCCAGGTAATGACCAAACAGACTAGTAGTGTAGGCGGCTGGAGGGTGGAGAGTGGTGAAAGTTACCAGGCCATGCAGCAGGAGTCGTTAGCTTTATCACTCTTTTCTTTAAAAAATAAACATGATTGGGGCACATATGTTCTGATTGTTTCACTTCTCAAGTTAAAATGCTTTTTTTATTTTTTTCTATTTTTTTTATTGTGAGAGGGAGTCTCGCTTTGTCGCCCAGGCTGGAGTGCAATGGCATGATCTCTGCTCACTGCATGATCTCACCTCGCCTCCTGGGTTCAAGCGATTCTCGTGCCTCAACTCCTGAGTAGCTGGGACTACAGGCGCGCACCACCACGCCCAGCTCATTTTGTGTTTTCAGTAGAGACAGGGTTTCACCATGTTGCCCAGGCTGGTCTCAAACTCCAGGACTCAATGATCCACCCGCCTCAGCCTCCCAAAGTGCTGGAATTACAGGCATGAGCCACTGCGCTTGGCCTCAAGTTAAAATGCTTTTAAATGAATTTCTGTTCCTGGAGTGAGTGCCAAGTACCTAGGGTGCCAAGAAGGTACTCTGCACACAGATGTCTTGAAATTCACTGTTTTTGTTTGTTTGTTTCAAGCACAGCTTCAAAACCCAATATTACTATTGCTGCTGGGAATAAGGAAAGCTCTCTCATGGGGAGGACTCCTCTCCTTCACAGACCCTCCACACAGACACCACACACTCCATGCTGTCACTCCCGGATCTCTGCACACACTCTAGATGTAGACAGAACATCTGTACTTTATAAAGTTAGATGATTTCTAACTTCTCTACTCCCCACTTGTATGCTCCGTAGACAGAGAGCTCCAGAGCTTGCCCTCCCTGTCCCCTGCCTGTGCCCCCGCAGCACTGCCTTCCCAACCCACCAGTTTTACAAGCGAGCAGCTTTCGCCTTTCTGTGCTCTTCCCTTAACTGTAAACAAGAAATGAAAACACTCTGGCAGGTTTCTTTCTGCTCCAAAGGCTGCAATGTTAAGACCTTAACCAACAGCATAAACTCTCTAGAAAAGTAACTTGTTTTGGCTGGAACTGCTGGAACGGAATGCGGGGTGTCATGCCAATAAGAAATCCCTTTTAGACTCAAGCTGAAAGGAAAACACCTTTCTTTGGATGCTGTGAGTGCAAACCGGTCAGAGCTTTTTTTTTTTTTTTTTTTTTTTTTTAAAACAGCATGACTGAAAAGTGTTCATTAATTGAGGCTTATCACCAGGCTGCCCTCTTTAAGATGGTAAATAATACTAATGAAGTTTCACTAAAAGGAAGGCAATATGGTTCAGGGACATTAAGTGATGTCTCGAGTGAGCTTGAAGTAGAATTTACAGGTTAGTTCTATTTGGTTTTTTTCCTATAATAGCACCCTGAATCTATGCATATATAAGCACAGTACTATATACAATGCAGTCAGTCATGGTACTGGTTTTGTAAGCTCACCAGCTCAGCTCCCCCGCACTGTACCCCCTGCTGCTGCCACCCCCCACCCTCCTATATGTCTGTTTGCATTAGAAGTGAGGCATCAAAGATAGCTAGCTGAGAGAGCTCTCAGGCAGCCAAAGGCATGATCAAAGAGCAAGCAGGGGCTGCACGTTGGTAGAACTGTGGTCCTTACAGAAGCGTTATGTTGCACTCACTGCAATTCCCACAAATACCCAGGATAAATTAAGAGTTAAAACAGGCCGGGCATGGTGGCTCACACCTGTAATCCCAGAGCTTTGGGAGGCCGTGGCAGGTGGATCACGAGGTCGGGAGTTCAAGATCAGCCTGGCCAAGATGGTGAAACCCCGTCTCTACTAAAAATACTAAAAATTAGCTGGGCATATTGGTGGGCGCCTGTAATCCCAGCTACTTGGCAGACTGAGGCAGAGAATTGCTTGAACCCGGGAGGCAGAGGTTGCAGTGAGCCAAGATCGCACCACTGCACTCCAGCCTGTGCGACAGAGTGAAACTATGTCTCAAAAAAAAAAAAGAAGTCAAAATGAACCATGATTGCTTCCTAATTACTAAGTTTTGTGCAAAGCCCTGTTAGTCCCCACAACAAGACTGTTGCTCCACCAAAACAGGCATGCACCACCGCGCCCAGTATGCTGTCATTTTATAATTGTGGAACTAAACCATTTTATAATTGTGGAACTAAGCCAAAATTGTAGAGAGTCACTGCACACTGTCTTCTCCTGACAGCAAATCCAGGGCTGGTATCCCAAGGCAGGAAAAAATCAAACGGAATCACTCACAGTTCTGACCTCCGCACCTACCACCCACCTGTTGCCCTGAATAAAGAAGGACAGCACAGGATCGCCTCTGCCATTGGCTTTTATCACCTTCATACAGTTCCCGTTGAGGAAATTGTAAATTCTGATCTTGCCATCTGCGCAGCCGCTGATGACCCGGAGGAAGAGAAGGGACACATGGAGCACCTCCCTGGAAGGGAACAGAGCAGCAGGCAGTACCCATCCTCTCGTAAAATGCCTGGATTTGTTAGTAGGTTGGGGGTATTTTGTGTGTGATTGAGAGGCAGTGGTCATAACTGGCCTTGAAAAGGTGTTTGCTGTGATTTTTTTGTTTTTTGTTTTTTGTTTTTGAGATGGAGTTTCGCTCTTGTTGCCCAGGCTGGAGTGCAATGGTGCAATCTTGGCTCACTGCAACCTCCGCCTACCAGGTACAAGCGATTCTCCTGTCTCAGCCTCCCAAGTAGCTCAGATTACAGGCATGCACCACCACACCTGGCTAATTTTTTTGTATTTAGTAGAGACAGGGTTTCTCCATGTTAGGCTGGTCACGAAATGCTGACCTCAGGTGATCCACCCACCTCGGCCTCCCAAAGTGCTGGGATTACAGGTGTGCACCACCACGCCCAGCCTGCTGTCATTTTATAATTGTGGAACTAAACCATGAGCTACTCTCAAGACATACCTCTTTCCATTCTGCAGCTACTGTCCCTGCAATTAGGTCACAGGGTCACAGATGACAAAAGAAAAGGGCTGACGTCACAATCTTTTTTTTTAATCTAACATATAGATGATCATGTTTGTCTCTTGCAATTTGATTCCTAGCTTTTACTTATACAATAGTCATGCTGAGAATTATTTAATGTTTTGATTCTTTTTAAAATAGTATTATCGGCTGGGTGCGGTGGCTCACGCCTGTAATCCCAGCAATTTGGGAGGCCAAGGCAGGTGAATCATGAGGTCAGGAGATCAAGACCATCCTGGCTAACACGGTGAAACCCCGTCTCTACTGAAAATACAAAAAATTAGCCGGGCGTGGTGGTGGGCGCCTGTAGCCCCAGCTACTCAGGAGGCTGAGGCAGGAGAATGGCGTGAACCAAGGAGGCGGAGCTTGCAGTGAGCTGAGATCGAGCCACTGCACTCCAGCCTGGATGACAGAGCAAGATTCTGTCTCAAAAAAATAATAATAATATCATATTTAAAAAGAAAAAACAGGAAGGAAAATGATTATCATTATATAAAGCAAATACTTTACATTTGAGCAGTTTCTTTTTTATCTTAAATTGGTGACTTTTATTCTTTCAGTGAAATATCCTTAAGGAAAATTGTATCCAGGGATGAAATTTAAGAATGTCCTTTTTTGATGGCCAATAGGAAAAGAGAGGGGGGACCAGGAGAAGATCTAGACAGATTCCTCCAACAAAATCCTTTCTAGAACCTTTCTGGGTTCCAATTAGACTCCAGATATGTGGAGTATTCAATTCTAAGAAGTATAATTTCCCTATTCCTGTTAATGACACCGAAAAGTTGAATTTGATACCACCAATTTGTTAGATTCTATATGCAAAGCAAGTCCATCAATTCCTGCCAGCTCTACCCATCCAAGGCCATTCATGGCCTAGTTCATGTGCTACCTTCTCCAAAAAGCCATCTCTTATCTTAATTCCGTCCTACATCTCCCCCCATCACACATGTACACAAACTTCAAGTATACTTTCAGATTCTCTTGGGCACACCTCATATCATTGCATACTTATCACCTAGCACAGCACTCAGCCCATAGTAGGTCCTTAATATATATTTGTTGAAAAAGTGACTGTCTGCTCATGTTTTCGGAGTATGGTCATTGCTACAATGTGTTAAAAGAATGACGTCCGCCCTGTGCCATTTGGCCTCAGACTTGGTCAGATCCCAGGATCAGATGAAGACTTTCCAAGGCCCCAACCATTAACCAAACAGAAATAACAAAGACCTCAAAAGGCAGGAGCATGATCAGCATACTCAAAGGACAGCAAGGAGGCAAATATGATATGAACCCCTGATTATGTGATATAGATAGATAGATAAATAGATAGATAGATGGATGGATAGATAGATGGATGGATGGATAGATAGATAGATAGATAGATAGATAGATAGATAGATAGATAGAACTCAGCTGTAAAATAAGTATTAAAAACTCTAACAAGGCCAAGCATAGCAGCTTATGTCTATAATCCCAGCACTTTGGGAGACTGAGGTGGAAGGATTGCTTGAGACCAAGAGTTTGAGACCTTGGCTCTAAAAAACATTTGAAAATTAGCCAGGAGCATGGTGGTGTGTGCCTGTAGTCCCAGCTACTTGGGAAGCTAAGGTGATAGGCTAACTTGAGCACAAAAGTTTTACATTATGAGGTCATAGTGAGCCATGATTGCACCACTGCACTACAGCCTGGGCAAAAGAGTAAGACCCTAGGGGAAAAAAAAAAGAACTAAAGAATGAAAGAGAAAGAACAAAAGAAAGAAAAAAAGAGAGAGAGAAAGAAAGGAAAGAAAGAGAAAGGAAGGAAGGAAACGAAGGGAAGGAAGGAAGGAAGGAAGGAAGGAAGGAAGGAAGGAAGGAAGGAGGGAAGGAAGGAGGGAAGGAAGGAGGGAAGGAAGGGTGGGAAAGGGAAAGAAAGACCCAACAAATTTCTAAATTTTTTCAAGGTGGAAATATAATAACTTTGATGGTATCCTAAGCACAGCACAGTCTGCCAGTCATGTACTCCAGCACTGGGAGAGATTCCATGTGATAGAAAAGTTTGCCTCTTCATGTATCTCATTTGATCTTGCTGAGCTGAGTCCATACTTCTCTTCCCATAGATCCCTGTGATATTTGGTAGTTCAGTCTATATCATTGTAGCCTAGTAATTAAAACCACAAGCTTTGGGATCAGAAAACCTGGGATCAAAACCTGACTCTACCACTTATGGGCTGCATAACCTTCAGATTAAATTCAGAAAGTAATTTAATCTCTCAGTCTTCAGTTTTGTTTTTTCTTTTTTCTTTTTTTTTTATTTTGAGACGTAGTCTTGCTCTGTCACCCAGGCTGGAGTGCCGTGACACGATCTCACCAAAATTAATTTATCCAGAACTCTGGAAAATAATCAAAGGTTTACAGCAACCCAGGGAGGACTTACACAAGTAAAATGGCATAGTGTCAATAAGAATAATGAGACTTAGAGGTCAGGAGTTCGAAACCAGCCTGACCAACATGGTGAAACCCCATCTCTACTAAAAATACAAAAAATTAGCCAGGCCTGGTGGTGCGCACCTATAATCCCAGCTACTCAGGAGGCTGAGGCAGGAGAATCACTTGAACCCTGGAAGCAGAGGTTGCAGTGAGCCGAAATTGTGCCACTACGCTCCAGCCTGGGTGACAGAGCAAAACTATGTCTACAAAACAACAAAAAGAATAAAGAATAGTGAGACTTGCGACATGTTAACTTAGTCCCACTTCCCACCTCCCCCAGCCCAGTGGTAGCCATGAAAGTAACAGCCTCCAGTCCTGGTGGTGGAGGGAACAGAATGGACCTCATTCTGACAACTATAACTACAGGGGGGAAAAAAAAACTCACTAGAGGGGCTCAACAGCATATTTAAGCAAGCAGAAGAAACGAAGTACTTGAAACAAGGTCAACTGAAGTTATGCAGTGTGTGGAACAGAAAGGAAAAAAGAATAAAGAAAAATTAATAGAGCCCCAGAAATCCGTATAACATCATCAAACAAATCAATATATGCATAGTAGGAGATCCAGGAAGAAAGTAGAGAAAGGGGCCGAAAGAATATTTGAAGACATGAGTGCTGAAAACCTCCCAAATATGATGAAAAACATTAATTTACAGGTCTAAGAAGCTCAACAAACTCTAACTGGGATAAACTACAAGAGGTCCACACTTAGATGCATCATAATCAAATTTTCAAACACCAAAGGTGAAGAGTATAATGAAAGCAACAAGAGAGAAGTAGGTCCTCATGTAAAAAGGATCCTCAGTAAGATTAATAGATGATTTATCATTAGAAAAGTGTCTTAGTTGGCTTGGCATGGTGGCTCACACCTGTAATCCCAGCACTTCGGGAGGCCAAGGTGGGCAGATCACAAGGTCAGGAGATCAAGACCATCCTGGCTAACACAGTGAAACCAGTTAAAAATACAAAAAATTGGCCAGTCATGGTGGCGGGCGCCTGTAGTCCCAGCTACTCGGGAGGCTGAGGCAGGAGAACAGCGTGAACCCGGGAGGCGGAGCTTTCAGGGAGCCGAGATGGCGCCACTGCACTCCAGTCTGGATGACAGAGCGAGACTCCATCTCAAAAAAAAAAAAAAAAGAAAAGTGTCTTAGTCCATTTTGTGCTGTTATAACAAGATACCATACACTGAGTAATTTCTAATCAACAGAAGCTTATTAGCTCATGGATCTAGAGGCTGGGAAGTCCAAGGCCAAAGGACTGGCATCTTGTGAGAACCTTGCTGTGCCGAAGGCAAAGAGGGGGCAAAAGAGAGAGGAAGAGAAGGCTGAAATCATCCTTTGATAAGGAACCCACTCCCACAATAATGAACCGATTCCCACTATAGCATTAGTCCAGTCCTGAAAGGAGAGCCCTAGTGACCTAATACCTCCCATTAGGCTCCACCTCCTAACACTGTTGCATTAGGGATTAAGTTTCTAACTCATACTTCTTGGGGACACATTCAAATTATAGAAAAGAGAAATGACAAGGATATTAAAATGACACACTAAAAATATCCATTTAACGCAAAGAAAGGCAACAATGAAATAATTCAGGAACAAAAATACATAAGACTATGGAAAACAGCATAATAACAGAAGTCTTTTTTTTTTTTTTTCTTTGGGGTCAGGGTCTCACTCCATACCTAGGCTGGAGTGCAGTGGTGAGATCATAGCTTACTGGAGCCTCAAATTCCTGGGCTCAAGCGATCTTCCCACCTTAGCCGCCTCCTGAATAGCTGGGACTGGATAGGACAATTAGTTAGAAGATCCACAAGGAAACAGAAGACACGAGCAACATCATAAACTATCCAGAGCTGACAAACATATACAGAACACTCCACCGAACAACAGCAGAGCACACATTTATCTCAGATGCACATGGAACATTCTCCAGGATAGACCATATGTTAGGCTACGAAACAAATCTCAATATATTTTGAAAGACTGAAATCATACAAAGTATGCTCTCCAACTACAATGAAATTAAATTAGAAATGAATAATGAAGGAAATTTAGAAAATTCTTAATTATGTGGAAATTAAACAACCTTGTCTTAACCACTGAGTCAAAGAATAAATCAGAAAGGCAATGAGAAAGTAGTTTTGAGATAAATGAAAATGAAAACACAACCTATCAAAACTTATGGAATGAAGCTAAGCAGTGCTCAGAGGGAAATTTATAGCAGTAGATGCCTACCTTTCTCCAATCAATAATCTTTCACCTTAAAAAACTTGAAAAAGATCAAATGAAACTCAAACCAGGAAGCAGAAGGAAAATAATAAAGATTTCAGCAGAAATTAGAAATAGACAATTTACAGAAAATCAAATGAAACCAAAAGTGGGTTCTCTTTTTATTATTTTTTTATTTGCTTATTTATTTACTTATTTTTGAGACAGAGTTCTGCTCTTGTTGCCCAGGCTGGAGTACAATGGCGTGATCTCAGCTCACTGCAACCTCAGCCTCCCGGGTTCAAACGATTCTCCAGCCTCAGACTCCCTAGTAGCTGGTATTACAGGCGCCCGGCCAATTTTTGTATTTTTGGTAGAGACGGGGTTTCGCCATGTTGGCCAGGCTGCTCTCAAACTCCTGACCTCCAGTGATCCACCCGCCTCGGCCTCCCAAAGTGCTAGGGATTACAGGCATGAGCCACCGCACCCAGCGGTTCTCTTTTTAAAAAGTCAACAAACGGCCAGGCGTGGTGGCTCACGCCTGTAATCCCAGCACTTTGGGAGGCCGAGGTGGTTGGATCACCTGAGGTCAGGAGTTCGAGACCAGCCTGGCCAAGATGGCAAAACCCCATCTCTCCTAAAAAATACAAAAAGTAGCCGGGTGCAGTGGAGGGCACCTGTGATCCCAGTTACTCGGGAGTCTGAGGCAAGATAATCACTTGAACCGGGGAGGTGGAGGTTGCAGTGAGCTGAGATTGCACCACTGCACTCCAGCCTGGGAGAAAAAGCAAGATTCTGTCTCAAAAAAAAAACAAAAAAAAAAGTCAACAAACTATTAGCTAGACAATTGACAAATCTTTGACCAAGAAAATAAGAGAGAAGACTCAGATTACTAATATAAAGAATAAAGCAGGGGACATTTCTACTGACTGATGGAAATGTTTATAATTAGATAGTGGTAATGGTTGCACATTATGAATATACTTTAAAAAATACTTTAAAAATTGAATTGCACACAAAAGTGGTGAATTTTGTGTTATGTGAATCATATCCTAATTAAAAATTGCAGCAAAAAACAAATTACAATGTGAGCTATGGAAAATACATTAAGGAATAAAGTTTCTTGTTTTGTTTTTTGAAACAAGGTCTCATTTCGTTGGAGTGCGGTGGCACAATCACAGCTTTTTGCAGCCTCAACCTCCCCAGGCTCAGGTGATCTTCCCACCTCAGGCTCCCAAGTAGCTGGGACTGCAGGTGTATGCCACCATGCCAGGCTAATTTTTGTATTTTTTGTAGAGACAGGGTTTTGTCATGTTGGCCAGGCTTATATTTGAAAAAAAAAAAAAAAAGCACTACAGGCAGGGCACTGTGGCTTACATCTGTATTCCCAGCACTTTGGGAATCTGGGATACTATATACTAATATAAAGGTGGGTGGATCACTTGAGGTCAGGACTTTGAGACCAGCCTGCACAACTTGGTGAAACCCTGCCTCTACTAAAAATACAAAAATTAGCCAGGTGTGGTGGCGCATGCTTGTAGTCCCAGCTACTCAGGAGACTGAGGCAGGAGAATTGCTGGAACCTGGAAGACAGAGGTTGCAGTGAGCCGAGATCACGTCACTGCACTCCAGCCTGGGCAATAGAGCGACACGCCATTAAAAATAATAATAATAAAAATATAAATATAAATAAAGTTATAAAAAGACACTACAAGTACAGAAGCTTTTCCAAAGATCATCATTCCTGTCAGTCCTATTTTGCATCCTCAAATTTCCTCCCTCATATCCATTCTGTCCCACCCTATGTGCAAAATCTTAATTTTGGTTGAAAAAATATTACATCAGGAATGGAAAGACCACTTTCTCCAGCCCTTCTTCCATCAAAGGACAGATAGCAACTATATCTGCTTTCTCACCTATGTCACATTCAAAAGATGAGTTATCAGTCCAATCGTTAGAACTTTCCAGAAAGGCAAGCTGTCAAATTATTCCTTGTTACCAATCAGTGAGATACATTTATTGAGCACAGAGCTCCTACAGACAAGTTGGGAGAAAGAGACCTACAAATGAGAGTATTGACCCTGTCTTCCAAATGTCTATGGTTTTTCTGTTACTATGCAGGATAGCAAGAGCTAATATGAATGGTATATTAGGGACTGTCATTCAATAGGAGTGGGAATTGTCCAAGAAGGTCTCATAGCAGAGGTGGAGGGAGAGGCTAATGGTATGTTGGAACCGTGACGAAATTGCTGGGCTTGCTGGGAACAAATTATTTTCCGCTCACTAACTAATCCTACTGAATCCTGCTTAGAAGCTTTTAAAACATATAGTTGACATTTTCAGGTGATTTCATAAAGCTTGACTTCCTCCCGGAGATCAAGGCTTGATAATCCAGAAGGTTTACTAAGCTGGCTGGGTGGAGTTATAGTCTTGTGGTGGGGACTAAGAGGGCTTCGCACAAAACTCTGCAATCAGGAAGCAATCATGGTTCATTTTGACTCTTAATATCTAAGGGTAAGGTAAGTCACTGTAGGCCAGAAAAAAAGATCAATTTACTAAAAATAAGTTTTCCCTGATGGATCCCCTAGAAAGCCCACTTATTATTTTTTTTTTTATTTTTTTGAGACGGAGTCTCGCTCTGTCACCCAGGCTGGAGTGCAGTGGCGCCATCTCGGTTCACTGCAAGCTCCACCTCCAGGGTTCATGCCATTCTCCTACCTCAGCCTCCCGAGTAGCTGAGACTACAGGCGCCCGCCACCACTCCCGGCTAATGTTTTTTATTTTTAGTAGAGACAGGCTTTCACGGTGTTAGCCAGGATGGTCTCCATCTCCTGACCTCATGATCTGGCCGCCTTGGCCTCCCGAAGTGCTGGGATTACAGGTGTGAGCCACCATGCCCGGCCAAAAGCCCACTTATTCTTTTAATCAATTAAGGTAGCATTTAGTTTCCCGGAAATTTTTATAATGCATTCAGGGAAAGAAGCTATATTCATGTAGTATAAGAGTAGCATAGAGTAGCATATAAAACTGATGACCATGGCAGAATTGACCACAATACTCTTTCCAAACAAGCACGGATGTGACCTCAGAATGCTTATTACTTGATTCCAAGCAGCCACCACCACTAAATTTGAATTGGCATGTAAAACGAAATCCATTTGCTACCCTGGAATAGGATCCAGCCTGTAGACTTGTAGTTATAAGTGCCTCTTTTTAAGCTCTCAGCTCTTTTAAAGTCTTCGGATCATTTTTAAGCTTTTGTGAGCACAAGCATCCTGGGATAAAGACCAATTCCTAGAATTTTAAGTTTATTAGAATTGGCATTATTTGGGATGGTTCTGCCAGTATTCATATGTCTGACAGCTATCAGGTATGAATTTATCATGAGGGTCATAAATATAAAATTTCAGGTATGAATTTATCATGAGGGTCATAAATATAAAATTTCAGGCTGGGCGTGGTGGCTCACGCCTGTAATCCCAGCACTTTGTAAGGCCAAAGCGGGCGGATCACGAGGTCAGGAGATCAAGACCATCCTGGCTAACATGGTGAAACCCCGTCTCTACTAAAAATACAAAACATTAACCGGGCGCGGTGGTGAGTGTCTGTAGTTCCAGCTGCTCGGGAGGCTGAGACAGGAGAACAGCATGAACCGGGGAGGTGGAGCTTACAGTGAGCCGAGATTGTGCCAGTGCACTCCAGCCTGGTGACAGAGTGAGACTCCATCTCAAAAAAAAAAAAAAAAAAAAAAAGAATTCAATAACTTCTCAAAACCCTCAGCTCTATAATTACTTCGCAAGAGAAACAAGGAAGAGTGGAAGAGGTTAATAGCCAAACAGAGAAGATGGTGGGGAAAAATGGGTCCCAGGTGGAAGAGGAAGGAAGCAGAGAGGGTGAGGTGCAGAGAACACGATGTCCACAAGGAGCAGAAGATCTACCAATGATTGCACTCTAGGCTATGAAGGGGAAGAGAAGGACACCAGGTTCACCGCTCCAGGCTTCACAGGCACCTACTTGGGATGCTTGAAGGCCATCAGGCAGCGCTCATACTTCCCCACCATGCTCCAGGCCATGACCAGGCCATCAGTGCTTCCTGAGAGGAGATGCCACTGGTCGAAGAACAGGCACTTCACGGCTCCCTCGTGGCCATTGAGAGTCTGCAAGAAAAGATACCACTGTCTTCAACTCAGACTGTGACTCCTCCAAGAACCAAAGCTGAGGCTTCTTCAGATGAATGCCAAAGCCACCCCCCATCAATCTGTGATTGCCATTCACTTGGTAGGTACCTGAGCTAACCTTGCTTTTGCTGTAAGAAGGCCAATGGAGGCCGGGTGTGGTGACTTATGCCTGTAATCCCAGCACTTTGGGAGGCCGAGGTGGGCGGATCATGAGGTCAGGAGTTCAAGACCATCCTGGCCAACATGGTGAAACCCCGTCTCTACTAAAAATATAAAAATTAGCTGGGCATGGTGGCGCACACCTGTAATCCCAGCTACTTGGGAGGCTGAGGCAGGAGAATCACTTGAACCAGCGAGGTGGAGGTTGCAGTGAGCCAAGATTTCGCCACTGTGCTCCAGCCTGGTGACAGAGCAAGACTCTGTCTCCAAAAAAAAAAAAGAAAAGAAAAGAAAAAGAAAAAGAAAAGAAAAAAAGAAGGCCAATGGAGTCCATTCCATGTAGAGCTCTCTCTCTGGTTACAGAGAAATGGGATCAGGGAGGGGCCATGTTCCTGGTGGGTCTGTGTCTGGGGCAGACACTACCTTCTTGGAGCACCAGAAAGGGCCAGAAATCACTGTCCTTTGCTGTCAGAAGGACGAAGGCAACGTGTGCCATCCCAGCTCCTTGCCAGAACCCAGAGTGCACATGGGCCATCCCTGTGCCTGAAACGGCTGGATTGGCCATAGTGACAGGATTGGTGGGAAAATTCCACAGGCCAAGCCAGCCACTTTTCACTGTGATCCTGTGTTCCTGCTGCAAATCATATATATCCACCACCCGCTAAGGCCAGGGGTTCAGATCCAGCAAGAATATGTTTCATGACCAACCAATCACTTTCAAGACCATCCATGTTCTCTCTTCATTAGAGAGCAAGGAGGAAAAAACATTCTCTGTTCATCCCCCAGTATTTTCTTCTTAGGAAAAAAATGCTTTGTTCATCCCTTCACCCCATGCCAGAATACAACACTTTTTTTTTTTTTTTTTGGAGATGCATGATCTCAGCTCACTGCAACCTCCGCCTCCTGGGTTCAAACGATTTTCCTGCTTCAACCTCCCAAGTAGCTGAGGTTACAGGCGCCCACCACCATGCCTGGCTAATTTTTTGTATTTTTTTTTTTAGTAGAGATGGGGTTTCACTCTGTTGGTCAGGCTGGTCTCGAACTCCTGACCTCATGAGCCGCCCGCCTCGGCCTCCCAAAATGCTGGGATTACAGGTGTGAGCCACTGCGTGCAATACTCTTGAGGAGAAAAAGGTACTTCACTTCCACTGCTGTTAGAAGGCCCTGAGCCCATAACTCATGCTGAGTCAGAATGCAGCCTTCCTCCACCAACCCCATGATACCATGGGTCATGATGTGGGCAGTGGAGCCCCTACCCTCCACGGACTCTGAATGCCCCATTTGGGGGCCCTCCCCTTTAGAGCTTCAGGACTGTCCTTCTTGATGGCCATACTCAGTTGCTCTAGGATGACCTGAGGAGCTAGGTAGGGGGGGCCCAGGGACCCACCCATCTCCTCCCCAGTGCCCTTTCCCCCAAGGCAGCCCACTGCCCACTCACCTTTACCAACTGGGCCATGACAATGTGCCACACTTTCACCACCCCTCGCTCACAGCTGCTCACAATGTAGGTATCATTGATCCTGGTGGCCAAGATGGGGTCTTTGTGTCTAAACGTCTTCAGGCACTTCCCTGTGTCTACATCCCATACTGAACAGGAGGGAGAGAGAGGAAGAGATGGGAGTGGGGAAAAAGGAGGAAGAGGAAAGTTGACAGTGGAGTTCTGCTCCCCATCACAGAAGCAAAAGACTCATCGAGCCCATCAAGTCAGACTCTAGAAGGACTTCCCCTGGCCTAGCACCTCCACAGGACAGGCTCACCAACAGCTCATGTACCCACAGCACAGATGTGCCCTGAATACAGGTGGTTGGGGGAGCCACCTGTTGGCTATGGCCCTAGAACTTAGCCTTGAGGCCCAAGTGCTAGACAGCTCGTCTCCAATCAGCTGATTCATCAAGCCTGAAACATGCTTGCTATCAAGTAGATTTCATAAAAATCATGGCATACAGCTTGAGTAGGAGCAGGTAAAATTAAAAAAAAAAAAAAAGAAATAGAAAATGGCCGGGCGCGGTGGCTCAAGCCTGTAATCCCAGCACTTTGGGAGGCCGAGACGGGCGGATCACGAGGTCAGGAGATCGAGACCATCCTGGCTAACACGGTGAAACCCCGTCTCTACTAAAAAGTACAAAAAACTAGCCGGGCGAGGTGGCGGGCGCCTGTAGTCCCAGCTGCTCAGGAGGCTGAGGCAGGAGAATGGCGTGAACCCAGGAGGCGGAGCTTGCGGTGAGCAGAGATCCGGCCACTGCACTCCAGCCTGGGTGACAGAGCCAGACTCCGTCTCAAAAAAAAAAAAAAAAAAAAAAAAAGAAAATCACGGCATACATGTAGTGTTGTCATTCTTCCCAGATGCTGTCTTCCTGACCCACACCTTCTATCCCCAAGATAAAAGAAGGTCATCTACCCTCACTTACATTTTTAAATACTTCTGAATCTGACTTTTGGATTTTATGGAGAAATGGTCGCGGCTGGGGGTGGGTTTACTGCTGCTTCAACACAGACTGTGTTACAGCAACTGCCTGGCATCTTGTAGTGGGGATGAGAGTGGGTGGGTGGGTGGGTGGCAGAACAGGGTTTCCTAAAAAGAAGAAGTTGATGCCAGGCCCAGTGACTCACACCTGTAATCCCAGCACTTTGGGAGGCCGAGATGGGTGGATCACAAGGTCAGGAAATCGAGACCAGCCTAGCCAACATGGTGAAACCCTGTCTCTACTAAAAAAACAAAAATTAGCTGGGTGTGGTGGCACGTGCCTGTAGTCCCAGCTACTCAGGAGGCTGAGGCAGGAGAATCGCTTGAACCTGGGAGGTGGAGGTTGCAGTAAGCCGAGATCGTGCCACTGCACTCCAGCCTGGCCACAGAACAAGACTCCATCTCAAAAAAAAAAAAAAAAAAAAAAGAAGAAGTTAAAAGTGAACTCTATGAATTCAGGAATGAAAACATTAAAGTCTCCTTCAAAGGTGCTTCCCAAAAGCACCTTCTTCCTCAGGCAACAGGACAAGTGGCCTGAGACAAAATATAACAACAACCAGAGTTGATACTTACGTGGCGCTAACAGTAAGCCGGCGACCACTTAAGGTGTGTGACATGCATGAGCTCATCTTCACAAGAAAAGTACTATTATTATTCCCCACTACACAGATGAGGAAACTGAGGCATAGAGAAGTTAGGTTGCCTGCTCAAGTCATGTAGGTGGTAAGTGGCAAAGCCGGGATTTGAACCTAGGGAGTCTGGATCCAGAAGCCATGTGCTTAACCATTTATGCTAGGTTAGCCCTAACTATGTAAGTATGCTTTCCTTCGCTTATATTTTATGTATATATCTTGGCCCATTTATAAAATTACCAATGGGGCTCTCGTGAAGATTAAATAATGTATGTTAAGCATCTGTCACAAAATTAGTACTCAGTAAATGGCAGCTGTTGTTGTTCATGGATTTATTATATTCCCCACTATATATTTATGTATCTGCTTCCATTAGGAGACTATGAGCCCTTTGAAGAAATAAAAAGTTGTATCTAAAGGGCCATATCCTATTCCTTTTTTTTTCTCCTCAGCACCTAGCTCAGTGTGTAGCTTGTTGTAGGTATTCTACAGATAGTTGTTGAATGGATGGATTGATGGATGGATGGATGGATGGATGGAAGGAAGGAGGGAGGGAGGGAAGGACGGAAGGAAAGAAGGAAGGAAGGGAGGGAATAAATGACTACCGGCCTATAGGAATGAACAAAACAAAGCATTTTGGTAACCCATAAGTTGCAGGAAACTTCTTAGAAAATTTAAGGCACTTCTTTCTCACCTTTTACCTGGCAATCTTTTCCTCCCGACACGAGCCTGTTCTTACACAAATCTATGCAAGTGATAGTCCCCTGGTGACCACTGAAGATTCGTGTGCAAGCCCCACTTTTCAGATCCCAGTATCTGCAGGAATCAGGCCAAAAGAATGTTTGTGAGAGCTCCTGAGGGCTCAGAGGATCATACTGCATAGAATCCCTGTAGATAAGTAGGTAGTTGGGAGGCAGCAGAGCCTCATGGTTCAGCTTAAGAGTCAGGGGCCTGGATTTGAATCCCAGCTGCAGCACCTATTTGGTGTAACTTTGAGGAAGTTAATTTCTGTGTAAGTTTCCTTTCTTCACTGATAAAATGGAAATAATAATGAGTAGTTACATCATAGGGTTTTTGTGAAGAATTAAATGGACTAATACAGTGATTGTCAACCCTGGGTAACTTCTACCCCCAGGGGCCATTTGGAAATAGCTGGAGATACTTTTGGTGGTCACAAGCAGGGAAGGAAGAGACACTGATATCTAGTGTGTGGAATCCAGAGATGCTGCTAAACATTCTACATTGCACAGGGCAGGCCCCACAGTAAAGAATTTCCCAGCCCCAGATGGCAATAGCGCCAAGGTTGAGAAACCCTGCACCAGTGGAGGTAACACTGGAATAGTGACTAACTTGTACAAAATGCTTGATCAATGTCAGGTGGTTTTCAGGTAGAAGCGTCCCGAATGACCACCAGCCTTATAATCCATGGCACTGATTCAGTGGTACAGCAGATCTTCAAACAAGAGCAACAGAATCCTTTACCAGTCACTTAGATCCAAAATATTTATGTACATATAGAGCATATCTAAGAGACAGATGGGAGCAAAGATGAATTATCCTGTTTTTTGTTAAGAACACGTGCCCAAGGTCTCTCAACTGCACTTCCGCTTCAGCTAGGCTGCTTTTGAGACAGGACAAAGCAGAATGCTGAGATAATGGTTCTGGAGCAGGCTTCCTGAAGTCCATTCCCAGGGCCATCACTTACCAGCTGTGTGATCCTGGGCAAGTTACTGAACCACCATGTACCTCAGTTTCTTCATCTGTAAACTGAGGACAATAATTGTACTAATGGCCACGCGGGGGGGCTCACGCCTGTAATCCCAGCACTTTGAGAGGCCAAGGCGAGCAGATCACGAGGTCAGGAGATTGAGACCATCCTGGCTAACATGGAGAAACCCCGTCTCTACTAAAAGTACAAAACATTAGCCTGGCGTGGTGGCGGCACCTGTAGTCCCACCCAGGAGAATGGCGTGAACCCGGGAGGTGGAGCTTGCAGTGAGCCGAGATAGCGCCACTGCACTCCAGCCTGGGCAACAGAGCGAGCCTCCGTCTAAAAAGATAATAATAATAAAAATTAAATTAAAAATAAAGCCGGGCACGGTGGCTCACGCCTGTAATCTCAGCACTTTGGGAGGCCGAGGCAGGTGGATCACGAGGTTAAGAGATCGAGACCATCCTGGCTAACACGGTGAAACCCCATCTCTACTGAAAATACAAAAGATAGCCAGGCGTGGTGGTGGGTGCCTGTAGTCCCAGCTACTCGGTAGGCTGAGGCAGGAGAATGGCGTGAACCCGGGAGGTGGAGCTTGCAATAAGTCGAGATCACGGCACCGCACTCCAGCCTGGGTGACAGAGCGACACTCCGTCTCAAAAAAAAAAAAAAAAAAAAAAAAAAAAAAAAAAAAAAAAAATTGCACTTACTTCATAGAGTTATTGTGAGGTTTTGCATATAAAAACGATTAATATGTCTTTGGAGTTTTTTGACTATGTTAAGTTTTTTCTTCTAATATTCCCAAGGATCTTGCAGCCTTACCAATGCCTTACCAGTTTCTCAGAGCCTCCAATGCAGCCACAGTGCATTGAATGATGGCACAGTGCTCTGAAAGAAAGCATGTTTTGAATTTCTGTTTCTAGCAGTATGGTGGTTTATGTCTTCAGGTTGGTTTTCTAAATTTATGCAAGAAAAGGTATTTGATAAATACTTTTAGAAAAATAGGAATAGAAGGAACTTTCTGGATTTAGTAAAAGATATAAGCCAAAGTCATAACAGTAAATATTATGCTCAGTGGAGAAATTGTAGATGTATTCCCTTCCAGAAGGGGAACAAGATGAAGATGCCCACTCTCACTGCTACTGCCTGCCACAGCACTGGAAAGCCTAGGCAAAGTTAGAAGGAAAGAAAAACAAAAGGTAGTATAGGCATTAGAAAAGAAGATAATATATTGTTGACCAGGCGCAGTGGCTCATGCCTGTAATTCCAGCACTTTGGTAGGCTGAGGTGGGCAGATCACGAGGTCAGGAGATTGAGACCATCCTGGCCAACATAGTGAAACCCTGTCTCTACTAAAATACAAAAAAAAAAAAATTAGCCAAGCATGGTGGCATGTGCCTGTAGTCCCAGCTACTCGGGAGGCTGAGGCAGAATTGTTTGAATCAGGGAGTCGGAGGTTGCAGTGAGCCGAGATCATGCCACAGCACTCCAGTCTGGTAACAGAGTGAGACTTTATCTTAAAAAACAACAACAACAACAACAACAAAATATATATATAGTAATTTGCAGTTGATAAGATTGTTTACATAGAAAAACCAATTATTAAACATACATGCTTTTAGAACTAATAAGAGAGTTTGGCAAGGATGCCAGACACAAGATCAATTTACAAAAATCAATTGCATTTCTCTATGCCAGCAATAACTAATTTGAAAACATAAGCAAAATTAAGATACCATTCACAGCAGTAACAAAATTATAACGTTTACAGGCATTAAGTAAAAATACACATGACTTTTATGAAAAAAACTTTAAGGCTCTAAGAAAGAACACAGATTGTTTAATAGAGTGTGTTTACCAAACTAATCTATAAATTCAATGCAATCCCAATAAAAAGTCTAGTTAGGTTTTATTGAAAGTTGATCAACTTACTCCAAAAACTCAAAACTTATATACTATAGCTGTTACATAAAAAAGAAAAGTGAGACCGGGCGCAGTGGCTCACGCCTGTAATCCCAGCACTCTGGGAGGCCAAGGCAGGCGAATCACGAGGTCAGGAGATTGAGCCCATCCTGGCTAGCACGGTGAAACCCTGTCTCTACTAAAAATACAAGAAATCAGCCGGGCGTGGTGGTGGGTGCCTGTAGTCGCAGCTACTCGGGAGGCTGAGGCAGGAGAATGGCGTTAACCCAGGAGGCGGAGCTTGCAGTGAGCCGAGATGGCGTCACTGCACTCCAGCCTGGGCGACAGAGCTAGACTCCGTCTCAAAAAAAAAAAAAAAAGAAAGAAAAGTGAAAAGTAGAATTTCCCTCCCCATCACATTTTAAAACATTCTCTAAATGCATACCTAAAAATAAAACAAACAATTTTCAAGAAGGGGGATTTTGATTAAAAACAGAAAAACAGACAATGGACTAGATCAGAGAGCTCAGGGACATTCTCATGCACATACGGGAAATTTCCGTGTGATAAAGGTAGCACCACAAATCAGTGGAGGAAGTGGCAGGTTATATAGTAGTTGCTGTGGGGGAGAGACTGCTGACTTTATTTAAATACAAATAAATGAAATGGAAACCCTACCTAACGCCACATATAAGGTTGAATTGCAAATAGATTAAAAAACTGAATGCAAAAGATAAAACCATAATGTTGGTAGAAGAAAATATTAGAAAATATCTCTGTGACCTGGAAGAGGGAAGAATCACAAAAATGAAGGGGAAAAAACCCTGATAAATTGATGTTTTATTACATTCATATTGATTTTTTTTTTTTTTTTTTTTTTGAGACCGAGTTTCGCTCTTGTTGCCCAAGTTGGAGTGCAGTGGCACCTCCCAGGTTCAAGCAATTCTCCTGCCTCAGCCTTCCTGAGTAGCTGGGATTACAGACATGTGCCACCATGCCCGGCTAATTTTGTATTTTTAGTAGAGATGGGGTTTCTCCATGTTGGTCAAGCTGGTCTCAAACTCCCGACCTCAGATGATCCGCCCGCCTGGGCCTCCCAAAGTGCTGGGATTACAGGCGTGAGCTATCGCGCCCGGCCCATGTTGAGAATTTTTGCTCAACAAAATTCATGTAGATACTGTGAACAAAGTTAATAGATAGTCCTGGTGAGAGGGAATGCTCTGGCAGACAGCCTTTGGGCTTCATCTGCACTGTTGGCTCTCCTGGGTCTCTAGTCCCCAGATTTTGGACTTGCCAGCCGCATTTATCACACAAGTCAATACTTTATAATAAATCTCGTATGTATATACACATTCTATTGGTTCTGTTTCTCTGGAGACCCTAATACACATATGAAAAGGTGCTCAACTTCATTAATAATCAGAAAAGTTAAAATTTAAACCCCAATAAAACACAGTGGGTTTTATTTAATATCCATCAGATTGACAAAACTGTTAGAATGACAATATTAAGTGTTTGTGAGAATACATAAGAAGAGATATTCTCATATGCTGCCAATGGGAATGTAAATTAATACAACCACATTGGAAAGCAGTTTAGTACTCCTTCCTAGAAATTCCCATGCTAAGAATATACCTTTAAAACCCTCGTGCACATGGGCATCAGGGGACACATCCAAGACCCGTCTCTGGCAGCATTCTTTGAAATAATGGAAAACTAGAAACAAGAGCCGGGCATGGTGGCTCACGCCTGTAATCCCAGCACTTTGAGAGGCCGAGGCAGGTGGATCACGAGGTCAGGAGATCGAGACCATCCTGGCTAACACGGTGAAACCCCGTCTCTACTAAAAAATACAAAAAAAATTAGCCGTGCGTGGTGGCAGGTGCCTGTAGTCCCAGCTACTTGGGAGGCTGAGGTAGGAGAATGGCGTGAACCCGGGAGGCGGAGCTTGCAGTGAGCCTAGATCGTGCCACTGCACTCCAGCCTGGGCGACCAGGGCGAGATTCCGTCTCAAAAAACAAACAAACAAACAAAAAACTAGAAAGAATGCAAATGTCCACCAACAGAAAAACAAACACATGAGTTATGATACAATCATCAAATGTAATACTGTATCTCAGTGAAATAAGTTAATTACTGCCACCTACATCATATAGGTGAATCTCAAAAATATAGTTCCGTGTAAGAATGAAGTACCAACAAATTTTAAAAATATGATTCCTTTTATACTGAGTTCAAAAACAGGCAAAAGTAATTAATACTTTTGGAGATATATAAGAAGGAAGCAAAAATGATAAAGAAATGCAAGGGAATAATTAGTATAAAATTAGGATAACATTACCTCTGGTTGGCAGGAAGAAGCAAGAAGAAAAAGGCACAGTGAGAGGGTTAGGAAATGGTGATATCTTATTTCTTGGCCTGAGTAATGGATGCATGAGTGTTTGTTATACTATATAAAAATATACATACATATGCATTTTTAAAACACTATTTTGCCTCTATAGTCTGTCTCATACCCATAAAAAGCCATGTTCCCTGAAAGAATCTGTAAGAACAAAGGTAAATTATTTCTTCATCTAAGAATGCTAATAAAGAAAATTTTTCTGACTTGTACTCATCAATTAGAAAATATATCTGATAACTGTTATAAATCTATCTCATTCAAATTTTAAGCATTATATACATTCCTGACTTTTTCCTTGCCAAAATAATAAGCTGAAGCTATTCTAGAAGTCAGTATCTTCTAGGATAACTGTTAAATATAAAAAGAAAGAAGCATGCCCACTTCTTCCATGAGCTGCCTCTAGGCCTTAGGTGGGATGGAGATCATGATGCCTTTGGACTCCTCACCTGATACTTAGGTCATAGCTCCCGCTTAGGAGAAAATTTTCCTCCTCACATAGGAAGAGGGCCCGGACACTCCCAGCATGGCCTCGGAATTCAACAGGTATCACTTTTCCTTGTATGATGTCCAGAAGATGGATCTTTCGATTAGATGACACAGCTATCAGATCTCCCCCGGAATAGTGGATGACTCTTTTTTGATCCCACCTGAGTGCCAGGGGAAAAGGATTATCCATGAAAGAAGAGTCTGTGTCCTTCCTGGGACTGACTTAGCCCCCTGACTTTCGCCTACAGCAGTGGTTTAAAGAAAAAATCAGGGCCTTTCAACAAGGGAGGCAGCAGAAGGCAAGGTCGAGAATTAACAGGCCTTGAGGGATCCCCACTCTCATACATGACAAAAATCCATTTCCGTCAAATTTTAAAACTAAAGACAAAAGGCAATTTTTTAAAAAATTCTGTAAATGTATGCTAAATCCCCAAGAGAGAGAATGGAGTATGTGGCATTGCCCAAATTTAACTGATCATGGAAACCTTTTTTCTTGGAAAACATCAGAGGAACACAGTTGGGAAGTCCTCTGCACACTATATTTCTTTTCTTTTCTTTTTTCCCTTAATCAATATCCAGTGAGTATACGTTAGGTTCAAAGTCCTGTGCTAGCAGATACCACAGGAAATATAAAGAATTATCAGATAAGGACCTTACTTATAATGAGCTTATTGTCCCATAAAACTAGGTGAGTTGAATTAATGTTTCAATCACAGGATTATTAGCAAATAGGTAAAGTATGAACAGGATGACCAAATAATGTATTGTCCAAACTGAGAGATTTTTATTGTGAAAGAGGACACTATTTATTTATTTTTAGAGACAAGGTCTTGCTCTGTCACCCAGGCTGGAGTACAGGGGCGCAATAATAACTCCCTGTAAACTCCAACTCTTGGCCTCAAGCAATTCTCCTACTTCAGCCTCCCAAAGTTCTGGGATTACAGGCATGATCCACCACACCGAAACTGGGGACACTATTATTAATGACACTAGGACTGCAGAGTAGAGAGGGATCATTCCAACAAACAGGGATGTATACGAGGAGCTTTGAGGCCAACCTAACCAGAGAACGAAACCCCATCTCTACAAAAAAATTCAGAAATTAGCCAGGTGTGGTGGCATGTGCCTATAGTCCCAGCTACTTGGGAGACTAAGGCAGGGGAATCGCTTGAGCCCAGGAGGTGGAGGTTAAAATGAACCAAGATTGCACCACTGCACGCCAGCCTGGACGACAGAATGAGGTTCACTCTGGAAAAAGAAATACAGATAGTATGGTGATAACTGTTCTTTAAAATATATATGTGTGTGTGTGTATATATACTTTTTTTATACATATACATGTACATACATGTATGTGTGTGTATATATACTTTTTAATAGACATACATGTACATATGTGTATATGTGTGTGTATATATATGTATATGTACACACATATATTATAAGAAGCAATTCTTGATATTTTTGCCCTTATTCATACCTAGAGTTCAACGAGTCACCATCTCTTCTAAAGAACAGTTATCACCACACTATCCATAAAAACTTGACTTTGCCTTTCCCCTATCTTATCTTCTCTGTCTTCCTCATACTGACTGTTCTATTGTCAAGATGCAATTTGTTAATAAGATTCATGGCCAAAAATAAAGTAGAGGTGGACTTTGCAAAACCTTGTGAATATAAAGTGAAGTCCTAGGCCTAAATATGGCAGAAAGTTGATTATTAAAGAACCTTCTTCTCTGGGCATATTGAAATGATGTCAGAGTATGCAATTAAAAATACGACTGTCATGTTTACCATGGGAAGATATCTATAGTACTTTGCTAAGCTGGGTTACAGAAATATGTGTAATATAACACCACCGCTACTTAAAATATGTGCTAAGTATGCAAAGAAAAGAATTCCAGAAGGGTAGACATCAATATTAATGGTGGTTATTGCTAGGTGATAGACTACAGGAAAACTTTGCCTTTCTCTATACATTTTCTGGCATTTAGAAGACTTTTTCCAATAACTGTATATTATTTCTAAAATTAATATAACAAAATAAAGAGATTTCAAAAAATAAAGATTTTATGTGTGACTTGTGCAAAAGGTTGTTGGTCAGCATACCCAAAATTTATAAAGGGAAAATGTCCTTTACCCACTGCCAAGAATGGTGCCAAATGAAGCAGCTATTGTCTTCATGGGATCACGTGCAAGTTTAGGGCTGGAGCTTGAGGTGAGGAGAGCTTGCCTTTCCATGTACACAAAGGTCAGGGAAATCCCAAGTGTCAGTATGGATAACTCAAGCGTCCCTAGAGACCCAGATTCTGAACCCAGTACCTACGTGCCAGACAGAATGCGAACATTGTAGGTTCCACAGAAAATATTTCTCTCCTCCATTAGGACCTGCTGCGTTTCCTGGTTCTGGTATGCAGTCCACAGGTTGTACTCATTCTAACAAGGGAATATTTGAAGTTAAATCTCAGTGGTAACTTCAAATACCCACAGTCCCAGAGCCCCTAGGGTCTCCCTGGCAAGGGCACAGGGCTCACGGATTCTTCCTCTGAAGGCTGAGGCTGCTTCTCTGCAGAGAAGGGAGCAGCTGGTGAGCAAGCACCAAAGGAAACCGTGAGTTAGAAAGTGTTGGGTCAAGGTTCTTAATTTTTGTTTCACCCTCTTTGATTTTCCATGTCCCCTGATTCCATGAACTTTCCAGGCTGAATTCCAAATGTCACCAATAACACAACTTTTTCAAAAATGAGCTCACAAAGGGTATCCTCACAACATAAAGTCACAGGTGCCCTTTGACTGACCATTTCACAGAAGTCGGAATGTCATGTGTATATTACATCTACCTGATAGTACAAAGCACACTCAGGGGATTTTAAGCCACATGTGAAATTACTGCTATACATGCTATGCATGTGCTTTTTTTTGTTTTTTTTTTTAGACGGAGTCTTGCTATGTTGCCAGGCTGGAATGCAGTGGTGCGATCTCAGCTCACTGCAACCTCCACCTCCTGGATTCAAGCAATTCTCCTGCCTGAGCCTCCAGAATAGCTGGGACTACAAGCATGCGCTACCATGCCCAGCTAATTTTTGTATTTTTAGTAGAGACAGGGTTTCACCATGTTGGCCAGGATGGTCTCGATCTCTTGACCTTGTGATCTGCCCGCCTCGGCCTCCCAAAGTGCTGGGATTACAGGCGTGAGCCACCACACCTGGCCGCATTTTTTTTTTTTAAAGAAAGTTTTGTTTTTCTCACCCAGGCTGGAGTGCAATGGCGCGATCTTGGCTCACTGCAACGTCTGCCTCCCGGGTCCAAGCAATTCTCCTGCCTCAACCTGCTAAGGAGGGGGGATTACAGGCATGCGCCATCACGCCTGGCTAGTTTTTGTATTTTTAGTAGAGACGGGGTTTCACCATGTTTGCCAGGCTGGTCTTGAACTCCTGACCTCAGGTGGTCTGCCTGCCTCAGCCTCCCAAAGTGCTAGGATTACAGGCTTGAGCCACCACGCCCCACCTGCATTTGCATTTCAAAGTTTTCATACATCTGCAACCTTCATTTGTCCTTGCAGCTGCCTTACAAGGTAGATTACTTGCCCCACAAAATGTTCTCATTATTTTACAGATAAGGTATCTGGGACTCAGGGAAAGGAAATCAATTTTATCAAGTCTTGACAGGGGCGCTTTTGTTTGCTTCCCAGTCTTTCTTTTATTTCCTTCCTGCCTGCCTTCATTCTTCCTCCCTCCTTTCTTCCTCTATCACACACCTTCTGAGCAGGTATGGCATTCCAGACATGCTAAATTCTGGCATAGATGACTGAACTACATTCTCAGTTCCATTTATATTCCCTGCCATATTCTATCCTCAAATATCCAGAAATTACAGTCCCATTAGACTAGCAGGAAAGAAAAAGCAGAATGTATTTATCTTGAAGGCAAAGAAGAACACAGCATCATGTTTGCACCTGAGAGTCCTCTTGGGGACATCTCTGAAGTCTCCTTCCAAACCTTAGCCTTCTGCTCCATGCCTTTAGACTCTTCCTCAGATGCCCTCTTTCCTCTGCTCCCTCTCCTTAATCTTTAACCATGTAGCAATGTCCACCAAGAAGTTTCTGCCCGGAAGAATCTGCCAACCTGCCTCCCCTCCAGGGTCCAGGGAGCTTTCCATATCCCAGCCTGAATTAAATGATGCTGCCCTGGATTCTCCCAACCCAGGGGGAATTCATTGGCCTTTGCTCATCTCCTAAATTTTGTGAGCCCAAGAAGCCACATGGTGGAGTCATTGGGAGGGAAAAGACCTGAGTTTAAATTCCAGCTCTGCCAGTGCCCAGCTATGAGACCTTGGGCACTCTCTCACAGCATATCCTTCATTTCCACATCCATAATCTGGGAACAACGACATCTCCTCGATCTATGGTAAAGTCAAGTAAATGCTGCATGCAGAGCTACAAGCATTGTGCCTGGCACACAGTTTACACTCATGCTATTACTCACCACCCTGAGAAGCACTCACCTCCACTTTTCCTAGAAGACTCTATAACTGCTTAGTCTTGCTATTAATGTGTTCTCCATGCTGCTTCACCTGCTTCTCTCCCTTTTCTCTCTCTCTCTCTCTCTGTTTTTTTTTTTTTTTTTTTTTTTTTTTTTTTTGAGATGGAGTCTCACTGTCTTGCCCAGGCTGGGGTACAGTGGCACAATCTCAGTTCACTGCAACCTCCGTCTCCTGAGTACAAGTGATTCTCCTGTCTCAGCCTCCCAAGTGGCTGGGATTACAGGCATGCACCACCATGCCTGGCTAATTTTCTATATTTTTAGTAGAGACAGGGTTTCATCATGTTGGCCAGGCTGGTCTGGAACTCCTGACCTCAGGTGATCGGCCTGCCTCAGCCTCCCAAAGTGCTGGGATTACCGTCATGAGTCACTGCGCCTGGCCCCTTTTCTTAAACTATACATGTGAGAATTAAAGAAAGAGGAGAGAAACACGAAGGGTGGCTTGACAGTCAACAGGTTTATTTCAAATCTGGGAGGGAATTCTGAGCGAGTTAGGTCAGAAGCCACACTGTCTTAGAGACTAAGAGTTTTTAAGGATTCAGGGTGGGAGAGTTTATCAGATGTTCGGACTGCTTTTGTGTCTCTTTGTTGTGCTTATCTGGGAGGGACAGTTGTGTGTCTGTCCCCATACATCTTTCTGCAGCTGCAGACATACCCCCCCGAGTCTGATTTAGCTTCCCTATCTTAGTGCATTTGAAGGGAAAGGAATGTGCTTATTATGGCCCACTGTTTTACTGGGGCCCATTGTATGAGGGTGAAGTCCGGCAGTTACCCAAGAGACTTTCCCCCCACCTCCCTCTGTGCCCGAGATGTCTTATCTGTGTTTTACTGTCTGCTCTTTCTGGCTGCTTGTAGTTAGAAGAGAAGTGATTTCCTTGAAACGCATGAGACTAGAAAGGAACCTGGAACTTAAAGTGACGGTGTTCGTCCGAGATGACAGTGCTTCAATTCTGTCAATACATTCCTAGAATGTCAAACACTGGCTGGGTAGTCCTTCTGTTGGGCCATTACTGACTGCATCACCCAAGGAAGAAGGGTGTTGTTTGTATTATACATAAAAGAGCGACAGACTTGAAAACAAAAGCAGGTCCATGTTCAAATTAATGCCTCTTTGACTCAGCTGGCTGGGAGAGCTTGACTTCTCTGCGCCTCAGTTTCTTTATCTACAAAATGGGTGAAGGGACCAGCTCAGAAATGAATAACTGCAGGTCAAATGAAATCCAGAAATGTGTTTTCCTTTTTTTTTTGAGACAGAGTCTCGCTCTGTCGTCCAGGCTGGAGTGCAGTGGCGCGATCTCAGCTCACTGCAAGCTCCGCCTCCCGTGTTCACGCCATTCTCCTGCCTCAGTCTCCCAAGTAGCTGGGACTACAGGCACCTGCCACCATGCCCAGCTAATGTTTTGTAATTTTTAGTAGAGACGGGGTTTCGCTATGTTGGCCAGGCTGGTCTCAAACTCTTGACCTTGTGATCCGCCCACCTCGGCCTCCCAAAGTGCTGGGATTACAAGCGTGAGCCACGGCACCCGGCCCAGAAATGTGTTTTCTTTGGCACATGTAGTTTTTAAAACTGCTTTTGACTGGTTGCCAGCACTTAATAAAAGCAAGAGATTTCACATAATATGTCAGATTTCTATCTTCTAAGGCTTAGATGGTCTAACAGGTCAGGGGCCTCAAGACAATCTCTCAAGACAATAATTAGCAGCAGCTGGCCCTTCAGATGCAGGTGAACTGTCCAGCCCATGACAGCCACACCGTCTGCTACTGCCCACACCACCCGCCTCCTCCTTTGTGTCACGTGCCTGGCCCCTCCAGGTCATATGAACTAGATGCTCTCTCTGGATGCTTCTGTGTCTCAAATTCTAATTTAACATAGCTTCCTTCTGGGAAGCGGCAGTCAAACCATCCCTTATTAACTATCCTTTTGGGGCCAACTGAATAGACTTCAAAATGGACTTTAAGCAGTGAGGAGGGGGCAGAAATCTAATGGTTTTAGGAATATCAACCATGCCTTGATAGGCAAAGCAAAGAGCTCGAAGAGTCTTCCGTTCACTCTTCATTGTTGCCCACGAACTAGTGGAGAGGGCTACATTTAATTAACTCTCTCCTTCCATCCTAGAGCCAGAATGAACCTGGAAGTGAGAGATAAGGGAGCCGAATTCATCTAGGCCCCAGGCATTCTGGAACCAGCCCTGGCCCTCCCCTCGGGTCCTCCTCGAATTCCTGAGCAGCAGATGCTGGAGCCTCCAGAGGCATGAGCTCATGGAGCTGCTCCTGGCCTCTGAACCTGCCACCGAATGACCTGGTGCCATGGACACAGAACACGGCCATGGGCTTTGAAGTAAGGAAGAACCCTGAGAGGACAACCAGATCAATCCACCCATCCAACAGATGAGTAAAGCAAGGCTTAAGAAGAGGAAGTATCGGCTGGGCACGGTGGCTCACACCTGTAATCCTAGCACTTTGGGAGGCCGAGGCGGGTTGATCACGAGGTCAGGAGATCGAGACCATCCTGGTTAACACGGTGAAACCCCGTCTCTACTAAAAATACCAAAAAATTAGCCACGTGTGGTGATGGGCACCTGTAGTCCCAGCTACATGGGAGGCTGAAGCAGGAGAATGGCGCAAACCCAGGAGGCGGAGCTTGCAGTGAGTCGAGATCACGCCACTGCACTCCAGCCTGCGCAACAGAGTGAAACTCTGTCTCAAGAAAAAAAAAAAAAAGAAGAGGAAGTATCTTGCAAGTCAGTAGCAACACAGAACTCTGGTCTTCCTTAAGGAGTGTTACCTGCCATGATCCTCTGTCCTCACTCCAGGGCTGAGTCTGGACTTCAACCTTCAATGGCCAATTAGAATGAGACGTTCACAGTTACTTGCCCCAGATGCCGTTGGAACCCACCTTCGTCCTCAGCTTCCACTTCGGATGTTTCACACGCATACGCTTCCCGTCATCTACCATTTTAGGAACTGGGATAGAAACCTTATTGGCATAATTAGGATCAATTCCTCTTGTGTAGGACCCCTGGAAAAAGACAAAAAAATAAAAACAGAAAATGGCTACTCTTGGCTCCGACTCTGCAAGAAGAAGGGAAACACTAGTTCTTGGCAAAATCTGAAGGATGCGTAAGCCCTGGCTGCGGCAGGCGGGCCCAGTTCTGGCTAGTTCCTCTGGCAGTGTGTGCAGATCGAATGGAGGAGAAAAATAAAGACCAAATGCCACAGGGGGACCAGCAAAGATGGTCAGACTGTCGCCAGCCTCACCATAGCTGCTGCTTCTCATCCTCTGTCCTCTCTGCTGGGAAAAAAATTCAAGTTACCAAAATCCATGGTTTAGGGTGAGACTTCTGGCAAGAAACGGAGAAGTAAAAATGCTGGAGAAGATTACCATTGGGGAAAATTGCGTTTTAACTTAAAAAAAATACTTTGCGGCCTCATAAACATCTGTGTTCCATATGAGGCTGATGCAGAAACACATTAATGGCTTTCTTGCTGCGTAAGCTGTGATATAACTCCCTGGGGACTGGGGGTTCTCTGCTTTGTGAGGTGTTGGAAAGGCTCTGCCTCTCTGCTCCTGAGTGGTCTCTATCCTTATGGTCCTTGTGAGATGCACTGACCACGAGAGAGTACTCAGTCGTCAACAGGAGTTTGGACCAAAAAGAAAAGACCTATGAAGCCTAAAAGGCCACAAATGTAGAGCAGGAGGCCAGCTAAGGGTTTACAAAACGTCCACAGTCAGATCAGCCTCAACACAAAAATGAAGCTGGTCTCAGACATTCCCCTTTCAGACTTGCAGGAAGTACCTGCATGAAGATAATCTGGTTCTGAATGAAGCCGTGCGCTGACAAGTCCGTCTTGACCTGTTGAGCCATGGCAGCCCAGTGCTGGCTCACAGAGGCACACTTGTTCAGGGTGTGTCTATCCAGCATTCCTGGAAAAAAAAAAAAAAAAAAAAAGATGGACCCAGAAACCCCAGAACTGGGCCAAGATGGGAGGTGTCTGGGAAATTCCCTCAAATACCCCAGCATACTTAGAATGTACTTGGAGAGGTGGATGGGCAGGTAACGGATGAAGTCTCGGTATTTGCTGAACCCAGAAGACAGGTCTCTGATGTCATCCAGGTCAACCAATAGATTGCAGGGATCGTACCCTGGCTTGGTTATGCCTCCTTTTTCAGAAAACAGCCTATTCATTTCGGAAATACACTGGAGTGAATTCCTCCATGGTTCCTCTAGAGTGAAGCCAGAGAAAGGTATGTGGTTGAGTTGGCTCTGTAGAAACTCCAGGCCAAGAACAAGTCCTCACCAAAAGCTCTCCCACAAAATAAACCTCCTCAGAGTCTACCCTTAGGCCACTAGATTTTTGTCATCTCTTCTGCCACATGAGAATAGAACCTTTTGACTCAAATATACATGTACTTTTCAACTTTTTCAGCCCAAGGAGAAGCCTAGAGTATCAGAGTCTGAAATGACATTGTGCCTGGAATTTTCTTAAAAATACTCCCACAAGAAAAAATTTTAAACAATTTAAGAAAGGGGGGGGCAATGAATGGAATAAAATTGGTAAAATGTTGATAATTGTTGAAGCCAGTGCTATGTGGGTGGGTGGTTATCATACTGTTCTATATACTTTTGAAATTTGAAATTTTCCATATAAGTGTGTTAGAATCTATGCCTTGTATTTCCTACGATATTGTGTTTCCTATGATATTTCATGTATATGTCTTGCTTCAAAACCCAACTTAGGAGTGCCTTGAGGTGGGGAACCAAATTCCCCACTAATTTTATTCCCTCCTCAAGATTGAATCCAATACTGCAAAAATAGCCATTGGTGGGTTTAATTCTAGAGCGGGCCACCATGCCAGAGCCCAGGGACTAGATGATGGATTGTGGCCCGGAGCAGAGAAAGACTCCAAAGGAAACCATTGATAGTCTCCTTTCTGATTTCTATTTTCAGATGTGTCTTGTGGACACTGCAGTGGAGAGGTGAAAATATGGGTTTGGGGGCCATCCTGATCAATTTCAATCCTTGCTCCTCCCCTTACCAGCTGTGATAATTAGATGGGGAAGTAAATGTCAAAGAGCCCAGCACATTGTAGATGCTAAATGAATCTGAGTTCCTCAAATCTGCCATCCCCAGATGCTATCACCCTGCCAGCCCCTCCAGTTCCACAGGGTCTTCCCAATCTCACATTGGTTTCATATTGGTTTTCTTGTTGAAAGTTGACTTACCAGGGTTAGAAGCTGCCCCAAGTAAGTGTTCATTTTCTGGGGCTTTGGACAAAGGAAGGGATGTGTGCTGAGTTTTGGCTGTCCAATAGACTTGTGAGGTCACAGACTTGGAGCTGTCATCTTTCTTGGGGGAAAAACACCCATCTGTGATGTCTTCATTGAGCCCTGAAAAACAAAAGACCAAGACAAGGTTGCTCTTGAAGCAGGTGTGTTGAGGAAAATGAGGTGGAGAGAAACTTTTTTATTTTTTCTTCCTTCTTTTTTTTTTTTTTTTTTTGAGACAGAGTCTCACTCTGTCACCCAGGCTGGAATGCAGTGGCACGACTGCAGCTCACTTCAAGCTCCACCTCCTGGGTTCACGCCATTCTCCTGCCTCAGCCTCCCGAGTAGCTGGGACTACAGGTGCCCACCACCACGCCTGGCTAATTTTTTGTATTTTTAGTAGAGACGAGTTTCACCGTGTTAGCCAGGATGGTCTTGATCTCCTGACCTCGTGATCCGCCCGCCTTGGCCTCCCAAAGTGCTAGGATTACAGGCGTGATTCTTCCTTCTTTTAAAGACGTACAGAACGGACCAGAGCAGTTATGTCTGTTTTTATTTGGGGCCTCCAAACTTCTATGCAAAAATCTCAGAAAGCTTCCTGTTAGTGTTTCAGCGTACTTCTAATGTAAAATATCTTGAGCTGTTTACACAAGGAGAGAGAGAGTCGAGGTCCGGAATTGCAACAGGGAATGTTCTTTGGAAGCTCAAGATGAATTTTCTTCCATGATAGAAATAACCACCCTCGAGTCAAATTAGAACATTTAACCTTTTTTTGGTTTGTTTTTGTTTTTTGAGACGGAGTTTTGCTCTTATTGCCCAGGGTGGAGTGCAATGGCATGGTCTTGGATCACTGTAACCTCCACCTCCCGGGTTCAAGTGATTCTCCTGCCTCAGCCTCCCAAGTAGCTGGGATTACAAGCGCATGACAACTGGCTATTTTTTGCATTTTTAGTAGAGATGGGGTTTTGCCATGTTGGCCAGGCTGGTCTCGAACTCCTGACCTCAGGTGATCCGCCCACCTTGGCCTCCCACAGTGCTGGGATTGCAAGCGTAAGCCACCATGCCCAGCCAGAACATTTAATTTTTTAAGAGAGAATCTGCTCTAAGAAAAGAGAAGGTTGTTGGCCAGGCGCGGTGGCTCATGCTTGTAATCCCAGCATGTTGGGAGGCTGAGGTGGGTGGATCACAAGGTCAGGCGATTGAGACCATCCTGGCTAACGCGGTGAAACCCCGTCTCTACTAAAAATACAAAAAAAAATTAGCCGGGCATGGTGGCGGGCGCCTGTAGTCCCAGCTACTCGGGAGGCTGAGGCAGGAGAATGGCGTGAACCCGGGCGGTGGAGCTTGCAGCAGTGAGCCAAGATCAGGCCAGCCTGGGCGACAGAGTGAGACTACATCTCAAAAAAACAAACAAAAACAAAAACAAAAAAGAAGGTTGCCACAACCTGTAATAGAACTTACACAACTCCAATGTAAATAGCCCATTTCTATGGTGCGTGATGAAACTTTTGGAAGAGCACCGCAGAGCATTGCATCTGTGCGTACAAGCCAGGCCTTCCGCTGCTGGCAGCACTGCAGAGTGGAAGAGGCTCAGGAGGGGATCCTGGTTTTCAGCCCACATGGTGGGTGACCTAAGCGAAGTCATTCAGATGCCCTGGACTTTGGTCTGCTTATGTAATATTAAGGATCAACCAGTCAGTTGATCTCCAATCTAAGTCACTGTTTTTGACACCCTGGGATTCACTGTGTCTTCATTCTATATTATCATTCTTTTATACCCCTGACACGCCAAATAAATCAAGTGACATACATTGTGATCTAACTGCGTCCTACGCCATCCAGCTTTGAAATTCTTTTGGATTCCACTAGTCTACAAATATGACCACCTCTCAGGTCTCATTGGTGACAGGAATTACACACCTTCAAGAGCTAAAACTCCAAAACACCTCCATGTGACCAACCCTCCCAGCTTTCTCCCACCCTTGCTTAAATCTGAGCTTCCCCACACTGGACCCTTCCACCCCCGGACCCCTCCAAAGCTCAATTCTCTTGCCTCCTGATACAGTTTGGATATTCGTCCCCTCCAAATCTCATGTTGAAATGTGACCCCCAATATTGGAAGTGAGACCTGATGGGAGGTTTTTGGGTTTGGGGCAGATCCCTCATGAATGGCTTGGTGTCCTTCCCACAGTAATGAGTGAGTTCTCGCTCTATTAATATAGTTCAAGAAAGAGCCGGCTGTTTAAAATAAATTGACACCCCTCCCCCTCTCTTGCTTCTTCTCTTGCCACATTATACGTTGATTTCCCTTACATTCCACCATGAGTGGAAGCTTCCTGAAGCCCTCACCAGAAAGAGATGCCCATGCTTCTGGTACAGTCTGCAGAACTGCAAGCCAAATAAAACTCATTTCCTTATAAATTACTTATAAATTTCCTTATACATTACTCAGCCTCAGGCATTCCTTTATAGCAAAGCAAAACAGACACCACCCTTATTGTTTCTTCTGCTTCCCTGAACTAGCTGGCCAAACACTTCCAGGATTCTCTAACACCCTAGGCCTGTGATTCTCAAAGAGAGATCTCCAGACCAGCAACATCAGCACTAGCTGGAAACTTGATAGAAATACAGAATCCCTGATTGGGTGCAGTGGCTCACGCCTATAATCCCAGTACTTTGGGAGACTGAAACAGGTGGATCACAAGGTCAGGAGTTCGAGACCAGCCTGGCCAGCATGGTGAAACCCCATCTCTACTAAAAAATACCAAAAAATCAGCCAGGCATGGTGGCACGCACCTGTAGTCCCAGCTGCTTGGGAGGCTGAGGGAGGAGAATTGCTTGAACCTGGCAGGTGGAAGTTGCAGTAAGCCAAGATTTCACCACGGCACTCCAGTCTGGGTGACAGAGCGAGATTCTATCTCAAAAAAAAAAAAAAAAAGAAAAGAAATACAGAATCCTAGGCCCACCTCAGACCTGCTGAGTCCGATGTTCTGGGGGAGGAGCTTGTTTTAACAGGTCCTGCTGGAGATCCTGATACAAGCTACAGCTGGAGAACTACCACCCTAGACTTATTTGGCCCTTAAGCTATCTCCAGCCTTGGAGAAACTCTACTTTAAGGTTTGATTTCATGGATAAGCAAGGAGCATGGTAGAGTGAATGGAAAAAAAAAAAAAAAAGCCGTAAGTTTTGACTTCTTGGTCTGGTTTCTGTGCAGGGTAGCTGAAAAGCAAAACAATCGCTTCCCCTTTACAATCCTTTCAAGCCCAGTCCAATCCCTAAAGCAGGAATGACACCAGCATTAAGGGGTCAGAGGCAGGGGCCAGCCATTTCTGGGCCTATGAGATGCAGAAATCCATGATAAATGTTTGTCAGTTAAAAGTTGTGTACTTCCTCCTGCATTGATCATTTTCAAGAAGGAAGTTACATTCAGTCATTTCTCCTTTGGTAAACAGGATCGGGTGTCAGGACAAGGTGTCAGTTCAAAAAAACCTATGCTGCATTCTGTGCAATCTCTGTCTACCTATGTTGTCTACAACTGCAGTTCCCTATAGATTTCTGAAGTCTTGCCTTCCGGTTTTTGGGGGCCCTCTGGTCTTTGCCTGTGGCCTTGTTTACCTGAGATACTGTTCTGCTCTCTCAGAATCAGGACTCTGATCACATTGGCAGCAGTGAGCAGTAATTTGGGGTTGCACATCTGCAGCAGTAAGAGAGTATAATTCGCCTTGGTCCAGTGGGTGCTGTTCCCAAACCAGTACAAGATCTCCTTCATCTTCTGTTCTACTGTTTTATCCAACATTTGGTTCAAGAAGGACTTCGCAACTTTCCCCTCTTTCTTGCTGAGGTCGATCCGGGACCTGCTATAGATGAAATCCTTTCCCTGTGTGGTCTGAAGGATATTTTGGAAATAGTGTAACAAATACAAGCTATTTAACTGCTTCAGAATGCTAACTAGAAACCTCCTCTGTGATATGTCATTGATCCTGCAGAACCACTCTTTGGTAGAGAAGATCTTCCAGGCTAAGACACACGTCTCACACTTCTGGCATAGAGGGATGGAATCGGTTCCCTTCTCACAATGAAAATAGGGGGCATTCTTGAGCGTTGATTCCAGGTTTTCCATGATCCTGAGATAACCAGCTCATTTTAGCCCTGCCCACTTGCAGCGGCAACACCACCGAACACTAGAGGAACAGGAGAAATGAATAAATACCCCAGTTGTGCCTTTTCAATTACAAACGTCTCCCAGAGCAAAAGTAAATGGCTGCCATGGATGGAAAGCGTATCTCTCTCAGAAACTGCCGGTAGAAGTCTGGCTTTTTGTACAGACCTCCTTGGAAACATGGCTTTACCGTAAATCTCCTAAACCTGGTACTGCTTTATGTGGAGGCAGTTGTTGTATATTCTGAAAGAGCTGGTCATCTCATTTCTAGAACAACAAGAATACTGTTAGCCAAATTTAAGTAATATGTGGACTATTACTGGTATTGTGCTTTAATTACTGTTATATATGGCTTCTGAATATTCATGAATATAAAATAAGATGCAAACTTCTTATGTTTATATCTGTTCAGTTACAAGGTGGCTATCCCAATGATACTAAATATGTTTATATTCATTTTCTTAAGTCATCATCAAAGTAAAACCAGAAATGTTTAATATAAACTTAAGTTATTTAACTGCTTCAGAATACTAACCAGAAATCTCACCATTGTCAAAGTGCCCAGGCAAAACATATTGGGCAGCTGACAGAAAGAGTTTCAAAGTCATGCTGAGATAATTCTCCTATTTCAGGCAAGACTAGGTTCAAACATTGACTCTGGTACTTAGGAGCTATATGGTCTTAGCAAGCAACCTGTCCTCTCTGAGCCTCAGTGTCTCCATCATAGTTATGAGGATGGAGAAGATAAAAGCGGGTAATAAAAATGATAACTACCTTCTAGGATTGCATTAAATATCTGAGATCAGTTGTTGTTACTATTGTTACTGTTACTAAAGCATCATTACCCTAGATAAAACCAAAAGGTTTGCAATATTGTGTGCCTTTCTAATGCCCATGTTGGAAGACCAGGCATAACCAGAGAAAGGTAATGGAATCCATCGCTGGGGTTTGGTTGGCGATGGTAGTCACATACTAGGGTCAGAATGGGGGGAATAGGAATCAGGTTAAGAATGAGATCAGTTCTCACAGCTCAACCTCTTCTGTCTGAAGAGGAATCTGGAGAAAATGTGTGAGTAGATTAATATTTAATCAGTCAGGAAGGCCAGACAAAGGAGGGTGGCAAAGAGAAGGGAGGCCCGAAGCAGACTCTTTGGATCTGTAAGGTGGGCACATTACCCTAAGAAGTGCTGCACACTAAAAGTAGCTCTTTTTTTTTTTCTTAATTAACTTGTTTATTTATAATTGACACATTATAAATAGCTTGTTTTTAAAGATTTTTTTTTTTTTTTTTGGAGACAGAGTCTCACTCGCTCACCCAGGCTGGAGTGCAGTGGCCGGATCTCAGCTTACTGCAAGCTCCGCCTCCCGGGCTTACGCCATTCTCCTGCCTCAGCCTCCTGAGTAGCTGGGACTACAGGTGCCCGCCACCACACCCGGCTAGTTTTTTGTATTTTTTAGTAGAGACGGGGTTTCACCAGGTTAGCCAGGATGGTCTCTATCTCCTGACCTCATGATCCACCCGTCTCAGCCTCCCAAAGTGCTGGGATTACAGGCTTGAGCCACTGCGCCTGGCCATTTTTAAAGATTTAAATAAATTTGGATTTTAATCTATGAGGCTGACATTCCTCAAGGAAGCCTTTTTTTTTTTTTTTTTTTTTTGGAGTCAGAGTCTAGGTCTACCCCCAGGCTGGAGGACAGTGGTGTGATCTCGGCTCACTGCAACCTCCGCTTCCCAGGTTAAAGTGCTTCTCTTGCCTCAGCCTCCCTAGTAGCTAAGATTACAGGCATATGCCACCATGCCCAGCTAATTTTTATATTTTTAGTAGAGACGACATTTCACCATGTTGGCCAGGCTGGTCTTAAACTCCTGACCTCAAGTGATCTGCCCGCCTTGGCCTCCCAAAGTGCTGGGATTACAGGTGTGAGCCACCGCCCCTGACCAAGGAAGCAGTTTTAATCACCCAACTTAGTCTTTATTTCATATTTCAGGGCCACAAACTTGGGAGTCAGAGAGAGAGAGGCTAGGTTTCAGACATTAGTCGAGGTTCATTTCCATCCCCTCTCCCTCAACACTGCACACACACGGTTCTCCTCAAACACCTGTGGACCATAGTCTGTTGTTGCCCCCTCGGCACCTCCTTTTCTAAACATCTTCTTTGAGAAGATGACAAGGGGCCGCCTCCTGAGAATAGAGGGACAAGGAGTGCTCCAGAGTGAGTGAGTGCAAGAGGGCAGCACCTCACTCCCTTCCTCCCTGCCTCCTGCTGGTCTGCACCTTTTAGAGATTGGTCCATACACCCGACTTTGGGGGGAAGTTGAAGCCATTTGGGATCTGGTGTTACAGTTAAAAATGTGGCCTTAGGCTGGGTGTGGTGGTTCACACCTGTAATCCCAGCACTTTGGGAGGCCAAGGTGGGTGGATCACGAGGTCAGGAGATTGAGACCATCCTGGCTAACCCGGTGAAACCCCATCTGTACTAAAAAAACAAATACAAAAAATTAGCCAGGCATGGTGGCGGGCGCCTGTAGTCCCAGCTAATCAGGAGGCTGAGGGAGGAGAATGGCATGAACCCGGGAGGCAGAGCTTGCAGTGAGCGGAGATGCACCACTGCACTCCAGCCTGGGCGACAGAGTGAGACTCTGTCTCAAAAAAAAAAAAAAAAAAAAAAATGGGGCCTTAGCACAGGGTGGGACAGATGGGCCAGATGGGATAGGCCAATTCAGGGACATGGTGCCAGTGGTACTCAAAGAGGCAGGTGGGCAAATAGGCCTCATCAGACTGATTCACAGGAGTCCAGTGGGGGAGAGCACTTCTCTGAGGAAGGCTACAGGATGAGAAGGACATCTGAGACCTCTCAAGTATTCAGGCTATGAGCAGCCTGGAGGCTTCATGCCAGTCCCCTACCTTTCCTTTCTGCCCTGTTTTATTTGTGATCCTGATGAAACCGCTTCAGCACACAACCCTACATCTCCACTTGCTTTTCCTGCCTTCCCACATAGTACAGAGAAGCTTGGAAGGTGCAGCCGCTGCTAGGCTGGATAGAGGACAAATGTGTCACACCCATCTGGCTCTGATGTCACCCCTGACACTGCACTAGAGGACCTGAGCCTCTGCTGGCTCCAGCCCAGCCCCTCTGCCTTCCCCCACTGGCACCTGGCCTGGCCAGCAGGCAGGGACTCAGGAAACACACAGGTTTCACAGTAGGAGGGTGAGGAATGAACTGGGCTCTGCCACGGAGCAGCTTCATACCCCTGGATAATTCACTTGCTAGTCTCAGCCTGCTCCTCTTCCACAGAATAGAGACCACAGTCCCACCTAGCTCATAGGTGGCTCTCAAGGTCAAATGAGTAGACTTTTACCCCATGTGAGGAGCTAACAAGTATTATTAGTATCATTAGGGAGTGTGGAGAAAGTGTAGTGTCTCATCTGTTCCCTTCCCATCATGTGGTTATTACACTCGTTGGAAGTTGGATTTTAAAAAACTCGGCTGGGTGCAGTGGCTCACGCTTGTAATCCCAGCACTTTGGGAAGCCGAGGCGGGTGGATCACCAGGTCAGGAGATGGAGACCATCCTGGCTAACACAGTGAAACCCCATCTCTACTAAAAATACAAAAAATTGGCTGGGTGTGGTGGTAGGTGCCTGTAGAAGCTTGCAGGGAGCCAAGATAGTGCCACTGCACTCCAGCCTGGATGACAGAGTGAGACTCTGTCTCAAAAAAAAAAAAAAAAAAAAAAAGCAAAAAAAAAAAAAGAAAAAAAAAAATTTAGAAACCATTCTGGCCACATGAGAAACCAGTGCATGCACATATATACACAACTCCTTTCAGGTAATCATCAGGGTCACCACTTAAGTTATTAATGTGGGGGAAGGGATTTTCACCTAAAATGACTGACCACTGCTATATTGACCCTTGGTCCTTGTGAACTGATCTGTTCTCCCTCTTCTTTTCCAGTACTTGGACTCTTTCCTTATGGGAGACAGTGGGATTTTCCCAACAAGACTACAGAGCAGGCTGGGCACAGTGGCTCACGTCTGTAATCCCAGCACTCTGGGAGGCCAAGATGGGCGGATCACCTGAGGTCAGGAGTTTGAGACCAGCCTGGCCAACATGGTGAAACCCTGTCTCTACTACAAATACAAAAATTAGCCGGGCATGATGGTGTAATCCTAGCTACTCGGAAGGCTGAGGCAGGAGAATCGCTTGAACCCTGGGAGGCGGAGGTTGCAGTGAGCCAAGATTGCACCACTGCCCTCTAGCCTGGGACAGAAGGAGACTCTGTCTAAAAATAAAAATAAAAAAAAAAAAGACTACACAGCAAACCAGAAATAGAAATTAAAAACTAGGCACATTCCAGCAAAGCAAGGATGGCGAACACTCTACCTGAGCCATGCATAGTCTGTGCCCTGCATGGACTTATTGGGGGCATATGAACAGCAGGTTGCCCTGCAAAGGCCTCCTCCCCAGCCACCAAGATGTCTAATCACAGGTGGAGAGGGAAGGAGTCGGTGCTGAAATCTGAGGAAGCCAGGAGAAGCAGGAAATACATGCACTACATTTCCTTCCATCTTTCATCTGGAGCTGGAGTGGTGGCCCCTGGAATGGAGGCAGCGCCTACAGAGATGGGGAGCAACCAGGCAGTAGGTCACTTAAGGACACAAGACAGAAGCCAGTCCCTAAAGATGGCCTGCAAAAATGAAGCAGCACCCTAGGACATAGAGTGAGAAACCTGTTTCATATATCACCTTGTCCATTATTGCCTTGAAGAGCAGATTCCTATTTAGCTCTTCACATATGATCACTTTTACTTCCATTGAAATCCCCTTCTTGTGATCAAATGACGCAGCTGGTTAGTTTCTGGGTTACTCTTCCTCAGCGTCTAGCACAGCAGTTTGCACATTATAAATGCCACGTATAGGCCGGGCACAGTGGATGCCTGTAATCACGCCTGTAATCCCAGCACTTTGGGAGGCCGAGGCAGGTGGATCATAAGGTCAGGAGATCGAGACCATCCTGGCTAACACAGTGGAACCCCGTCTCTACTAAAAATGCAAAAATTAGCCAGGCGTGGTGGTGAGCGCCTGTAGTCCCAGCTACTTGGGAGGCTGAGGCAGGAAAATGGTGTGAACCTGGGAGGCGGAGCTTGCAGTGAGCCGAGATCACGCCACTGCACTCCAGCCTGGGTGACAGAGCGAGACTCCTTCTCAGAGAAAATAATAATAATAATAATAAATGCCATGTATATTGAACCTACTTAATTTAGGGGTTTCATTCCAAAAACATGCTGAGCCAGATTGAGGGGATAAGAGCTCCGTGATTGGGCCAATACCATTATGTCATCATTTCGTCATGCATCTTGGGAGAAAGTGAGAATTTACCCATAATTCATAAGATACTCAGAAATGAATGCTATATACACTCAGATTGTAAAACGTTGAGACAAGAATAAATTATGGACGTGGTGGTTAAAATTACATTCTGACTCTGCAATTACAAATGGTCTGGTAATGGAGCAGAACCATGTGGCACCAAAGTGAGCTGTTGGTGAATCCAGATGTTCAGTGTGGTTTCTTTTTTTGTTTGTTTTGTTTTGTTTTTAGTAAGTCTACATAATGGAAGAAGATATACGGATGGGTAAATACAAAAGAGTGGCATACACACAGCTAAGGAAAATGCCAGAGAATATAAAATAAGCCCTTGTTCTATTTTTCCTTTTTTATTTGTTTTAGTCAATTTTCAGTTTTTAGACCAAGAAAAAGAAAAAAGATGTGCCCACTGCTTGAGGCGATGACAGAAGGCAAACATGCCCAACTTTTTTTTTTTTTTTTTTTTTTTTTTGAGATGGAATCTCGCTCTGTCGCCCAGGCTGGAGTGCAGTGGCGCAGTCTGGGCTCACTGCAACCTCTACCTCCGGGTTCATACGATTCTCCTGCCTCAGCCTCCTGAGCAGCTGGGATTACAGGTGCGCGCCACCATGCCCAGCTAATTTTTTTGTATTTTTACTAGAGACGGAGTTTCATCACCCGCCCTCCTCAGCCTCCCAAAGTGCTGGGATTACACGCATGAGCCACCGTGCCTGGCCCAAATATGCCCAACTCTTTTTTTTTTTTTTTGACAAAGTCTTGCTCTG